ATAATGTTCTGATTCATCTTCATGTTAATAATGCTAACCAGGATATGATTTAATGACCTATTATATGGAGAAAGATGAAAAATATTCAGTTTGTTCAAAAAAATGTGATCCATTCTGTGATTTTTGTGATTTTGGAGAATGTTCAAGATGTTAAAAAAATTATTTTGTTGATTAAGAAGGAATTTGTAAATAGAATGAATTTGAAAATAAAGCTATATAAATAAATGAATTTTCATAATTTAGTTAAATTACACCAAGTGCAGCTAAATTTAAGGATGGTTCAATTTTAATGGCATGGTCAAGTAATAATGAAGATGAAGATAGTTGGGGAGTGTTTGCTTAATTGTTAAATAATCAAGGTTAAAAGGTTGGTAACAATTTTAAAGTAAGTTAAAGTGTATTTGGTACATAACATAGTCCATAAGTAGCTGTATTAGAAGATGATACAGCAATTATAACATTTATTGAAGGTAATCCAGAAAAAGAAGCAATAATAAAAGGAATAAGATTTAATAATCAATTATAAACTATAGGTAATGAATAATTATTTACAACATTTAATGTAAATAATTTCTAATTGAATAATTAATTAATCAATAAAATAATTAGTCTTAGAAATGGTGGATTTGTTATTCTTTGGATTTCAATTAATCAAATAAATTTATAATTTTATGATTCTGCAAGTAATTTAATTATTTAAACTTAAATTGTTGATGTTAATTAAAATTATAATTTAGAAGTGGCTGTAACAATAACTGATATAGCTATATTACATTAAAAAAATTTTGATAATAGATATTATGTAAGCATTTACACATAAGAAGGAGTCTTCTTATCTAATTAAGAATTATTTGGTTGGGAAATGGATTAAATACATTAATTAAAATTGATAAGTATTTCTCATTACTTTGCATTGGCTAGTATCATTTAATTATCTAACGAATAGTAAATCAAATTGTAATTTTATAACAATCAATTCTTACCATATGGAAATCCAATTATTGTTGCTACAAATTCATTTTCTTAATAATCTAAATATAAATACTTCTAAAAGATAGAATTCTTTAGTTTAAATGATGGTGCATTATTAATATTATAAGAATCTAGCAGATTAGGTTATTATCGTTAATTTTATATTGATATTAATTGGCAAGTAACTGAATTACTATCATTTGGATTCAACTTATAACACGAATTTTATTTCCATCATATGAGAATCTATGCTATAACACATAATAATATTGATCAATATTTCTTATATTGGAATGGTGTATCATAATTATCTCAAACATCAACTTATTATAATTAAGAGAATATGAACATTTATATCTAAAGATTATCTAAAAATTCCCAAATAGTTCCTATTGATTAAATTGTGTGTTCTAATGATTGTAAATCATGTGATACATCAAACACTTGTTCTTAATGTATAAATTAATATTTATTGTAAAATCAATAATGTATACCATAATGTGAAAGCAATTGTTTAATATGTTCAATACCAAAGATTTGTGAAGTTTGTTATGATGGATACTATTAAAAAATATCAGGTAAATGTTCACCAATTCCAGTTAATTATTAAGAACCATAAGTTCTAATGAATTATCCAATTAAAACAAATATAATTGATATGGAATTATTACCAAATGGATAGTCAATTTTTTACACTTAGTAAACTCTATATGATCAATAAAAAGAAATATTTTCTTTATACATTTATTAAAATAATGAAATAATCAAGTAAATAGAAGTTTAAACAAATACATTAACAACTAATTATTATTCTATTTATCCATACTATTTAGAAGATAATTATTATTTAATATTCTATATAAAGGATGGAATCAGAATTATTAAGTATAATGCTTAATAAGAAGAAGTCTTAAACCATTTCTTATAAATTGAGTCTATTGATTCTGCAATTGAAATTTAGAGTTTAATTTTGAATCCAATTGGTAATAATTAATACTCTCTATTATATTATAAGTTTACATCAGGAGTCTTTAGAGTGTTATATGATGAAGTATTTAATGAGATTCAAAAAGAATAAGTATGGTAAGATACTTAATTTTGGTATGGTTTTTAGAAAGATAGAAATTAACTCTTTTTATAGAAATATGATGAAAAATAGACATTTACTAATTCTCAAGTTATTCAATAAACAACATAAATTTGTCTTTATTCACAATTATTATAAACCCATTCTTGTGATATTTTTAAACTTTCTAATGGTAATAAGATTTAAATAATTTATGGAACCTAAAATCTTAAATATTATAGTTTATCTAATTATGAAACACCTTATTAAATTTATTATAGAATATTAGATAATTAAAATATTCCATTAACAACAGAAGCCTAAGTTTTAGAGAATACATTTTCTAATCAATAATTTGCTATGTTATTTACATTTTAAGATTCATTTACAATAATAATTGATAAGCCATATAATTATTTATATAATGGAAATATTGAAATATATTCATAAAGATTTGATAATGCAGGTATGAGAATTGGAGAATAATAATTTATTTTATTCAATAAAGGATGGTAGAGAAAATTCTATAAACAAACCTCAAATGGATATGTGATATACTCAGAAGAGAGAATCTATTCAGAATTACCACATGCAATCATTTACTTTAAATAATATGATGAATTTGGAAATATTCAAGCATGGACTACAAATAATAATTGTATAGCTAATTGTGATAAATGTATCAATTCCTATTATTGTGAATAATGTAGTTAGAATTATTAATTAGATTCTATTAATAAATGTAAATTAACATGTCAATCTAATTGTAATTAATGTTCTAGTTTTACAAATTGTGAATCTTGTAATGTTGGATATAAATTAGAAAATGGATAATGTGTTAAAATTGATTGTGTTACTAATTGTGCTTAATGTTTAGAAGATACTACTTCAACTACAGCAACAATTTGTTAATTGTGTAATGATAATTACTATCTCAGCAGTGATAGTTAATAATGTATTCCTAAATGTCCTTCTAATTGCAGTTAATGTACTGTTCCTCTTGAATGTGAAACTTGTGCTTTTGGATATGTTGTTACATCAGACAAAAAATGTTAATAAGAAAATTCATCCATTCTAGATTAAATCAAAAATACTACTGTTGGAACACCACTTATGGCTACTTTCCCTGATGGTAGTTATATTCTTATGTGGTATTAAAATGGAGATAATGCTGGTGTCTATTTCTAATTGTATTCTGCTGATAATATTAAGGTTGGAGATCCAATGAAAGTTACTGGAAATACTAGAAGATTGTTAAGTTAATAATCTATTATTTAAAATTATTATGCAGATATCATAGCAATTGATTATGAATTCTTTGTTACTTGGATGGATGCTTCTGCAGAATCAACTGATGTTAAATTAAAGAAGTTTTCATCTGATGGAACTGCTTAAAGTCAAGATTTATTAATAGGATCTCATTAAAAAACAGATTTATAAGATATTAAAATACCTTGTCAAATCAAAAAGACACCTAATAATTCATTATTGATTGCTTATATGGCTAAAAGTGAAAATTAATCTGATGATTTCTCCATGTTCATATCATCATATGATGCTTTTATGACTAGTAAAACATAAGTTCAAGAAATTAAAAAAGTTAACTAATTAGCTGCTCCATCTATTGTATCAGATGAAAATGGAATTATCTCTTTAACATATTAAAGTGATGGATATGTCTTTGTTTAATAAATTACTGAAGATGGCAATTTAATAGATACTCCTAAAGCAATTGCTGACTCTAATTCTATCAATCTAAAAGTTACTAATTTAGCTAATGGAATTATGGTATTTTTATGGGAAAATAAAAATCTATAGCTATCTTAACCTCAATTCATTTTGAATTATTAATTAATATCTAAAGACTTAAAAACTAGAAGTGAAGTTAAGAGTGTTGGTGATATTTAAATTGCTTCTTTAACTCCAGATATTCAATCATTTAATGATGGATTTATTATAGCCTGGAAAATCACTGACTCTAATTATAAATCAATAGGGCTTGAATTTTAGATATTTGATTCTATGGGAATGTCTAATACATAAATTATTGAAGTATAAATTGAAGGCATTTATCCACAAACTCCTAGAATATAAATTATCAATGAAAATTAATTTGCAGTTACTTGGACAGCCAAAAATATTGATTCTGATGGAACAATACTAGGAGATGGTATTTTCATGTAAAAATACAATAAATATGGAACATTAATAACAGATTCATCATCTTCCACTGATCTATGCAGTTATTAATGTTAAAGTTGTTAATCACCATTAGTTTGTTTGAAATGTTAATACGGTTTCTATTTAAACAAAAGTAATTAATGTATTATGGATTGTGGTGCATTTTGTGATACTTGTGAAATCCCTTGGACATGTTAAAATTGTAAGAATGGATATAAATTAAATAATAATGAAGCTTGTATTGAAACTGAATGTCCAGAAGGCTACTTTAGAAATACCAATACTAAACTTTGTGAACCAAAATGTCCTGATGGATGTAATGATTGCTAAGTTCCAAATATTTGTGTCACTTGTAAGAGTGGATATTAATTATCTGATTCTTCATGTATTACTAATCCTGGAGGAACTGAACCTGATAATTAATCCACTGTTATGGCAATTGTGATTATCATCTTAGCAGCAGCATTTATAAGTGTATCAGCTTGTTCTATCACTTTATATTGCAAATATAAAAAATTGATTAAAGAACCAAGTTTTAGTCGAGTACATCCAGTATAAGACGTAAACAAAAGTATTAGTAATGTAAGTTGCAATGCTAGTGTAATTAGATTGAGATAAAATGAATGATGCATTATTTTACATTATAAATATTATTCAAAAATATTTTTATAATTAATTATTTTAAATATTAAATAAAAGTGAATTATTAAACTACTTACTTTTAATATAAATATTAATTGAAAAAATAATTATTTTATTTCTTGTGCTTTTATAATAATTTTCATTTCTTGACTTTTTTTCGGCCACCATTACTTTAATTTTAATATTTAAGCTTGCTATTTGATAATTTTAATGAACTCATATCTATCTCTTCCTATTCTATCATTTAATCACTAACCATAACAATTTATTCATTTTAATTCTCTCTATATTAATCATTCAATTATGCTAAATATTATAATATAAATTTACATTAAATATTCTAACTCATTTACTATTATGTTAAAAGAATTCCAAAACCATTTAAATTGTAATTAGGAGAATCTTAACATACAAATTAATCATCGTCATTGTTTTCTTAAGGGACATCCTAAATATTATTTAATTGATTATTAGAAATAATTTAAAATTTTTATTTTCTAGATATTTTTTTAACTTTAGGTGTTTTAGATTGAGCTTAACTTTATTATTTGTCAATTTTTTTTGTTTTTTTTTGTTATTATTTTTATTATTGTTATTATTACTATTGCTATTGTTATAATTTTTATAATTGTTTTAGATTTTTTTTTTCTTACTCTTCTTCCTTCTTTTTTTTATTTGTTATTGTACCAATTATTGAATCTTCAATAAATTCCTACATTTTATTTCTTATTTCAGTTTGAATTTCTTGATTTTGATTTTGATTTTCGCATTTTTATTTCTCCATTTTTTATTTCTCCCTTTTTTATTTTTTGTCATCTAGATTTTATTTTAATTCTATAAACTTATCCTTCATAACATTCCAAAAATATTGGAAATCTGATTTTTTAAAATTTAAGATGTTTTTTTATTCCTTATTTTTTTTTCTCCTTATAATTTCATCACATAACAATTTTAAATCTTTTAACTTCTTTAGTAAATCTTAGTTGCCTTTTTAGTTTTAATTGTCTTTTGTATTTTATTTTTCTTATGAATTTTAATTGTTTTAACTCAACTATTCTATTAATTTTTGTATTTCTTTCTTCATTTATTCATCATAAACAAAGGTTTTTAAAAATATGAAATTAATTTTCAAGTCTTTTAGTTCCTGATTTACTTCTTAAAAATTGAAATTTATATTTTATTCATTTATAGTTACTTCTTGTTTGGTACTTATTGTTATGAAACCATCTTTTTATTTTTTGATCAAATAATTTACTAAAATAACCTTCTAATCTTCTTGTAAAATGGGGTAAAGGAATTTGAATAGCATATTATACTTTTATTTTTTGGCATTTGTTTTGCAATTATTTTCATTGTCTGTAATTTCTATAAAATTTTTGTTAAAAAAGGTCTTTGCTTGATCTTAAAATTTATTATTTTATAAGTATACCATATTAATCTTACTGTATTTAGTCTTCCAAATTACTATCTTAAGTTTCAGTTTATTTTTGTTTTTAATCTTTCATTCTGTTTCCCCGGTCATAATTTTCTTCATAGTCTTCTGAATTTGATACACTAGGATATTGTTCTTGAAAATCATCATCATTTTTATGTAGACCATCATTGTAATCCATTAATAATAATAATTAAAAAAATGAATATTTTTTTTTTGTTTTTTTTTCTTATTTTTCGATCTGGAGTAATATTAAATTTTTCATATAAAATTTTATAATAATACAAAATTCATTTTGATTATAAAATTACTTCTTAACTTTTCCATTTTCAAATTCTTTAGAGTATAAAACTTGATTTCAACATGCTTTGGCAATTTGGCAAGTCTTAATATAATCTACAAAAACTATTCTATTTTGTTTAGTTGTCTTCTAATTAATAAGAAGAGAATGCTACTTTTAGACTCGAGTTTAAGATGGGATTTTACATAATACTTCTGTAGACTTTAAGATGTCTTAATAAAGTTATGGATTTTGCTCTGTTTGTATTGAAAAGTTTTTAATAATAAAATATAATGAAATAATTTGTTAACCCAGTTTTTCAACCTGTCGATTATTCTATGTCAATAAGTTATCATAGAACTGAATACATACCCAAAATTCCTTCATCTACTATTGGACAAGAATAAGCACATGATTTTGAAAAAATATTTTCATCAGAGACAGACATTTCATCAAGGTTGAATGATAGTGTGATATAACCATTTGATAATCGTAATTTTTACATTGATTAATCACCTGCTTATAGAGGAACAATAGAGAGTTCATTCAATAATAATACACTATCTATTACATAGGTAGTTGAGTAGAAAAAATATAATTAAGAAATCATCAAATATTCTGAAGAGGATAGTTTAATTAATTCATCATTTTTTGGTATTCTTAATTAGGATGCTCTCTAAAAACCATTATAATAGAAGGATTTAATTTACAAGAAATTTGAAGAACCATATTAATTTGATCATAACACAAAAAATGCTTAAACAATTTGTGATGAGGAATTGAGAGCTGAATTATAAGATTAAGTCTAAGATCTTCATACAATTAATAAATTTATTACACCTTTTTAATATTATTAATTTAATAAACCAATACAAGATAGTTCTAATTATTAGTAATTAACATATGAGAATAAAAATTAAACTATTGATTTATATTAATCATCTGATCATAATAAATTCTTATAATAACCATCTGATCATAATTAATTCTTGAAATAACCAAATTTATAAGATTTACAAAATAAAGACTAAATGAAATATACTCCCTCAACTTATAATAATACTTACTCTAAACCTATTGAAACTAATCTTCTAATTCAAAATACTCCTCCAAAAAGTAGATTTATATCTCCAACATTATAGAAATAATAATAATATTAATAATAATAATAATAATAATCTCAATATTATCAAAGTCCATAAAACAAAACAGAAAAATTAAAAATTAATAGTCCTGATTAATTTGAAACAATAAAAATTACTGAAATTGTTAAAGTTGATAATTTTAAAAATTAATCCTAAACTTCACCTTCTCCACCAATATTACCATTAAGACATTCTAGTTTCATAAACAATAAACCAGATACTTAATTCAATAAAAAGAATTCTGAGGTCTATTACTCATAAATGATTTAACCAATTGCTAATCAAAAAGTTTTATAAAGAACCATTGTCAATAGAGTTTAGGATAATAATTAATATGAATTAGATTCTTAATTATAATAATATTCCAGAAAAATTCAATCTCCAAATAAAAACAACACTTTCTTAAATTAATAATCTCATATATAAAGTAATCGCACTTCTTAATAATAGATTATAATTCCTTAACCTCAAAAATAATAATATACTATTTAATCTCCTATTAAATAAACTTAATCCCCTACTATAATTTCAAAACAACAAGAAAGATTGGATCAAAAAGAACTATTTTTATAAGCAGAAAAAGCAATTAAATTTTAAAGAACTTAACCTAAAGCCATATTACCTGAATGGTAAAATTAATAAACTAAATAAGAGTAAAGAAATAATTAAACATTTTCTAAGAATAATGGTAATAAATAAGATGATTTACAAGTATTATGTGTTATATGTGAAGATCTCATTCCTTTCGAGAATGTAGATTCCCATTCTATTAAATGTTTGGCTAAATCTAAACAATAAGCAAAAACACAAAATGCACATATATTAATTCAAAATTTAAATCAGAAATTAGAGTAACTAAAATAAAACATTATAATTTAATCTAAGTAAGTAGAAAATGACTTAGTAAATACTGAGGAAATGATTAATTGTATTACAAAAATAATCTAATGTTCCTATAATTGTTAAAAACTCAAATATTACAATGAATTATTAGAGTAACAATACCAAAAATATTAATAAAATTTTGATCAAAAAAGATTCATTATGATACTTACTTTATAAAGGGTTTTAGCAGTTTCATAGGAGAAATAACTAAAATTATAGTTTGTTGAAGAAAGTTAAAATGCTTAATTAGAAGATGAGAGTTATATATAAAATGAATTTATTAGATTAAATAAATAGGTTGGGATAGAGAAAGCGTATTATAAATAACATTATTTAGTAATTAAGAATAGATCAAATTTGAATAGGAGTTGTTTAAGAAAATTTAAAAGGATGACCTTGAAAATATGAAGTATTTAAGAGCACAATACTTGGAATAGAATGTAGATAATGAAGTTTTATCTTAAATAAACTCTGAATGGGATGTAAGGAATCCAGATATTAAAACAAATAGATTGACAAATAGTATTGTGTCAGATATCTAATATTAAAGAGATTTCGATGGATATGCTATTCGTAAAGAGGGAAACAGTCCTACAATGATTTAGAATGAAGTTTAATATTTTAAATATTATTTTAGGATTAAAAAAAAGCCTTTTATTAGTTAGCAGTTTAGATAAAATTAAATTTACCTCATAATCATCCAGGCAAAAACTTATTACTTTAGGATGCTTATGAGAAGGCTGTGAGTTTAAAAGTATCTAGAAATGTGTGGGAGAAATTTATAATAGAAGAAATTAGAAACATCTAATAATGATAGTGTTTAATATTTCCTTATTAGATGTATTTCGCTATGATAATAATAATAAATATGGTTTCATATAAATTTATTTTTTATTTTATTATTATAAAATGTGGTATTAATAATAAGTTAAGGGGGAAATGAAATTGAGGATTAGAATTTGAATATTTGATAGTGTATTATTAATAAAATAAAATAGGGGATTTCCAATAAAATCATTTCAAACATAGTTATTAAGGTTGCTGCGATGATAATATGCTTTATTTATTTTCCATAACTTATAATGGCTTGTGAATTTCCAATTGTAATAAAATTGAATAATATCTTATGCATTTTTGGTTTTAATCTATATCTATTAATATTATATTTACTAAATGTGACAAGAATTCATATTATTTACCATATCTACATAATCCACATTCAAATATGGCAATTTCTTTAGTTGTCCAAGTTTCTATAAGATAAAAATTGATAGAATACCAAATGAAAAATCGTTTCTTAAGGGAGAAATGAGTATATCTAATACATCTTATTATAAAAGAGAGTAAACATTTTAGCTGTTTGGCTACTATTATTCGATTTATTCTTGATTAGGAGAATCGTTATCAAGAATTTTCTTTTTTCTACCTGGTTTCTTTTCCTTTTATTTATTGTAATAATTACTTGTTTAATGTCTTTTTTACTATCTATTTAAACCTTTTCTTTCATAAATTCTGCTAATTTCTAATCACTCTTGTAATACAATTAGACCACAACACTTAGAAGGCTTTCAAATGCATTTACCCACAATGGTTAAGTTCCTTTTTGTCTATACTATCCACCTTGAGGTAATTTCTTAGTGAATATAAGCGGAGTGATCGAGTTTGGCGGTAAAAACTTACTAAGTAAAAAAATAATGAAAAAATAAATGATGAATATAAGGAAATAAAGTTTTAGAGAGTGATTAAAAAGTACTTACTCTAATAACACTTCATCTATTAAGGCATCAGAATTGCTTTTCTTTTTGTATTAATTTATTACTTCTGTGGGTAGCTCCAAATATCCGGTGCTAAAATAATAATAAATAGACAATAATAAAATATAAGGAATATGGGAAACAGTATTTGCAGAGATCAAAATAATATAAAAAGATAGTTACATACATATGTGAACCTTATCGTGCAAGATGCTTAATTTACTATATCACTTATTTTTATTATTCTGTCTCTCTTAAAGATTAGTATTACAAATTGGTTGCTAAATTAATGCTTAAGCTTATACCTATCTTATCTCCATTCTCTCCTAATTTTATTACTTTGCGAATGCCTAAATCAATTCCATTATTGTCTTCGAATTATGTACTATTATTTTTAATTTTCTACTATTCATCATATTGATTCTTCATTACTATCTACTAACTTAATATAATCAAATCCAGAACCTATCTATTCGATGAAGAAAATGCTTATTGAAAATAATTAATTTGTTTCATAATAAATACTAAGCCCTTATATTCACCAGTCTAAAGACAAACTATTTAACCAAATCTTGTTCATTCTCTATTCATTTCTTGAGCTTATTCCCATACTTTAATTCATATATGCATTTATTTATCTTTTTAATTTTCTAAACCATCATTAAGAAACATTCCATTTCATAACCTTTTCTATCATCTAAATCCATTCTATTAAAGAGGTCTCATCTACTTTGTAATATTCCTAGTCTTTAGCTCTTTTAAAATGAATAAAAAGAACCAAACTCAGTTCATCAATCACTTCATAGTAAGATTGGCTTTCCACACTCCCCTAATATATAATGAACTTAAATAGAAGAGGTCATTCATTTATATGATAATATTGTGGTATAATTTATGAGAAGAGTTCGAAGCAACATAAAATGATAATTCTTAATATTATGTGAAAATAGGAAAATTCTTATTTTAGATTGTGAAAACATACTTAAACATCTAATTTATGCTCTTGTCATTTCAATTTTTGTATTACAACACTTCTATATAGTAATTAATAACGTAAATTAATTTAAAATTTATATCACTTTGCATATAAAGCAAATGCAGATATCGGTCTAGGGACATCCATTTTCAAGCAAAGCTTCTTTGACTTTTTGATATTGTCACTTCCTTTATAATCAGTCCTTGAAAACTATCAACATCTATATGCAAGAATTACAAGTTTTAAAAAGTTCTCATCTTAAGTTAATATATTTCTCATTTCACTTTTGTATGTATTACTTTCCCTCATTTTAATTGGACTAACATCATTATTCTTACCTTCTTAAAAACTTCCTCTATATCCCATAGATGAATTTGCATGCTAATACGTTCTTATACTTTCTATTTATTCCTTATGTTCAATTTTATGTTAACAAGAAATCCTTAGCTTTAAATATTTTCAATTTCATACTTTTTTATCTATTTTTGAATCAGGAGACAAGATCGGATCTTTTGCTACTGGTTATCCTGGAACACTTTTTCTTACTTTTTTTTAAGCTACATCCTATCTTGGCTCTTATTAAAACACTTTTATTGAATATCTATGATTCTTTTCTTATTGAATATCTGTTTATTTTTGTTGATATTTTTTCATAAAATGACCATCATTAAACATCATTAATTTAACATTTGTCTTGTTAGTAGATGTATGAACATTTCTAAAAGGATCTATTTAGGAATCTATTCCACTAAACATTCCTTTCTTTTTCCCGGATTTTTATGTTGGTGCATCTTAATTTGCCTATTTTCTTATTAAGATATACTTAAATAATAGTATCAGTGACTTTAAAAGTTGGAGAATTCATTCTATTTTCTTTTGATTTCTTACATGATTCAATCAAGGCATTTTACATGATTTAACTATTGTAAAGTTTTTCTCTGTCCTATTATTAGGATTTAATTATTTTCATAGGAGTAGTTGTTGATGGACCTTCAATTTTATCTTTTGAAAGAGCAGATCTAGAATTTGATTTATACAGTGTTAAAATAGACATAATAAATATGTAATTAAATTTTATTTTGTTTTTCATTCATCCTAATTAAGCATTCGTTAAAATATTAAAATTTCTATTTGTACAAGTATTACCAATCTTTCTTTTATGTTAAACATAATCAATTGAATAGATTTCACGATTATGTCTATCACTTTTTTATGGAGAAGCACTAGAAGCAACATTATTGTATTTATTTTTATTTTTACATTCTTGACAATATCTTACTCTATTCATTGAAACTTCTTATCTCTTCACACTTTATTCATTACAACTAGTATGAAGATTATCCTCTTGATTTTAGATGTATTATATTTCATCATTTTTAGGTTAAATTAATTATGCATCAATTTATTATTCAGAAGTTTGAACTGCAAAATCTGTTTTTTGATTTTAAACAAATATTGGAATTGATTCATGTATTGTCTTTTATTATTTTATATTATTTTATTAAGATATAAGTTATTCTTCTTATTGAATGAGATTATTGAATAATATATGTTATCCAAAGTTTGTTTTATTTTATTTTTAAATTATATCTTTCTCAAATTATTTCTCATTCATAGATTCATTAATGGCTATATTGTTTTATGTATATTGAACAGAATCTGAATTAGTTTTAACAATTTTTTCTTTACAAAGATAAGTATTTTACATAGTTAATTTAGCAATTTTATCTTTCAATTAATCTTTTAAAGAATTTGATTTCATTATCTTTTCATTTTGGTGAAATGACACTTGGGGTGTATTATTTATTTTGGTTTATGAATATTAATATGTTTTATTTTAATCTTGAACTTTATGAATCAATGATTTTAACGGATCTAAATCAGTTGAAATAATTTTCTTTATCATCTATTAAAACTTATCGTTATTGTTTTATATTTATATAGGCTATTAGTATTGTTAATATGGTTTCTATTCAGAAGAGTGCCATGATCTATTTATTGCATGTTTTTCATATTAAATCTTTGTGTTTTCATCATTGAAATATTGATTTACAATTTAGAGAACTTTTTAAAGTAAGAGGGAATATTGTTAAGTGTCAAATAAATGGAGAAACTAATCTCTATTAGAACATGTCTAAATAAATAGTTTATTTAATCGTTTGATGCCATGAACAATGGATAAAAAGAGATATATATTACATTGTAAATTTTAATCATTCATTTCTTGTTTAGCAGTTTAAGTATTAGATAAATGTTTTGTTGCATTTGGATTAAAGTGAAGATTATGATTAACTCCCTAGATAGAGAAATTATTGTACAATGGAAGTGTCATCAAAGTTAAAAGAATTGCCATAAAATTGATTCATTTAGACGATTATAATTATTTATTAATATATATTGATTAATGGATTTTAAATCTCGATTTAAGGGAAAGATGACTGTGATGAATAAAGATGGAGTAATAGCAATGGTGAATAAACCTTCTTTACCAATTGTCAAAAGCAATTAATATTATTAAGAAAATGATAATTCTTCACCTACAAAAAAATAAACTAGTTTATACACAGAAGGAATAAGAGAAACTAAATCACATGTCTTTACTAATATATAGACTTCTCCAAAATAAAGAAACTAAACTAATTATTCTTAAAAATTTTCTAATACAGGAAATTAAGTCATCAAATCTACTCAAATTCCATCTAAGTAATAACCATATTTTGATGAACAAAATAAATAACTCAAACAATTGCAATTAAGAATATAACCAGATTTCAATTAAATAGATATGGATGAATATGAAATTGTTGCCATTCCTAAAACTATGTTAGGATAACTAAGATAATAAATGAGTGTAGATAGATATGCTTTAACACATAGTTTTGTACCAGACAAAAAATAATTATTTTAGTATCATTTATTGAGTTTTTAGATTTCCTCAGTTCTCACCAGAAGTAACTACTCAAAATACATAAAATCATTAAACTCCTTTGTTGAAGAAACAATATACAATTGATACAGCAACGATGTAGCAAAAACCATTCTTTAATAAGTAGAAATCTGAGAAGCTCGATAAAACAAATAAAGTCATTTAATAAGCAGGACTTGGAACACTTAGATATAAGTATACAAATCATATCTTATCTTACTAGTTCTTATACTAATAGATGAATTTTATTTAATTATTATTTTTATTTTGGATTACTATTATATAATATTTTGATAAATATCATAATTATATCTATGAAAATTAAAAACAAATTAATTCAACCTATTTTGCTATTAAATTTTATTGATTATAATTCATAATTTGGATTCCATCAAAATAAAATTTTAAATATTATTCATCTTCAAATATAACTTAAATCTAATGAAAAATACATAAACAACATCTGAATGATCTAATTCTTTACATTATATATATAATAATCATTTTTTTATTTGTCAATTAAATAAAAAAAACATCATATTTATAACAACAGGAATGAAATAGATAATATATATTATGGTATAAAAGACTTCAAATTAATCTAAAATTAATTTTATTATCTCTGAAGATTATTTGTACATATTAATAAATATCATATTGTATATCTGTAAATCAGATCTACGTTTTTGTAGTGTATTATATAAGTTGATTCATGTATAATTATCTTTTCTCTAATTTGGAATATGATTTATATAAATTAACAGAAATTAAGAATCATCTTTTATTCTTATCTTTATATTATATATCCTATAATATCATTTTTAATATCGAACAGGATATAATATTTTGTCTTATTGAATTATATATAAATCATATATAATTTAGATAATCATCATTCTATATCATAATGTTCTAAGAATATCTTAAAATCATCTAAAGATAGAATTAATTGATTCAAAAATGAAATATATATTTTCTTCTAACTAATTAATTAAATTTCATTAATTAAGAAAAATCTAAAACATTATTCAATGAAAGGCTCAATGGAACATTTCGATTCTCTTGATGACATGGCTGATTTTCCAGAGGAATTGAATGTCAAAGCAATTCTCGAGAAAGTTAAGGTATTTTTAGTTGTAAAACAACTAAAAGAAGATAGTTCGCCAAATTTGGTCATACCAAATCTATATATAGGATGTTTGGGAACAGTATTGAATAAAAAAAAACTCTATGAAAGTATATAAAATGTATAAATAACAGCTTAAATAACCCATATTTTAAGTGTGTGTGAAATGCCAATATTCCCTTATTAGGCAGAAGATTTTAAATCTCTTCTTATTAATATCAACGACAGTGTTGATTAAGAAATCAAGTCCAAGTTTGAAATAGCTAATGATTTCATTCATTCCGCTATCAAAAATAAGTAGAATGTACTTATTCATTGGTATTATACTTATATATTTAAAGTTTTGCTGGTAAATCTAGATCTGCTTCCTTTGTTATTGCCTATTTAATAAAATATCTATAAATGACACCACTCTAAGCATTGAAACTCCTTCAATCAAGAAGAAGAATTGCCTAACCTAATATGGGCTTCATGAAACAACTTGATGCTTACCATAAGGAACTCTACAGATAGCCACAGATACAAAAAGAACAAAAATAAATAGAATGCCCTTCTATACAGAAAAAGGTGAAAAGTAATCAATAATAAGAACATTTATAGTAAAGTAATGACCAATAGATACTAAATTTATGATTATTTTTGACAGAATACTTATTTTATTACATGAACTTAATATATTTTACTGATTGAATTATAATTTTAATTCAATAAAATTATCGTAATTTTAATATTAAATTATGTGAACTAATAAATTAAATAAATTATAAGATGCTTCCTTCTAAAGTCTGTAAATCATCTATCACTTATATATAATCCCATCAGTTTACATTGTATTATCATTAAGACAAATTAAGATTAAGAATTTACAACCATTTTTAACAAATTGAGTAATTCTGCAATTTCATATATGCTTAATCAACTCTATTCATATTCTAAACAAATATTTTTTAATATTTTAGTTTAGTAAGTATTTGGATTTCAAGAAATATTAATAATAATTATATTATTCTTTAATAAAATATTGAATTTAGTATATAAACATTAATTTATAATATCTACTTTATTATCTCATAGACTTCAATGATGAGTATTTAAATTGCCTATTTTTTGTTATAATAAATTAGCTAAAATATAATTAATTAATTACAACACATAGGAGAGGATCTCTATTGCTATTCGGATGCAATAAATTCCTTAATATTTAATTTAATTTAAATTGGTTTCTTTGATGTTTGAGAAAAAGGGTTTTATTGTATTTAACTTGAAATTTAATTATCTTAGAAATAATGAAAGTTTGAGTACTCTTATAAATTCGAATTTCTGGTTTGTTCTTCTATATCCTTAGAACTTTAATAAAATTAACTGGATTAAAGAGCCATTTAATAATTTTGAGAGTTCTATGTTGGACTCTCTTAATATTAATTCTTACTATTTTCATTAGACTTTAAGTTTGTATTATTTTACATATAATTAAAATTTTATTGCCTTTCTTATGCCAATTCATATAAATCTACTTTCTTGACATTTTATGGTTTACCTTCAAAACTATCATCTGAATAATACTATTATTGAGGTTGATCATATGAATAATTTTGATTTTATTCTAAAGACATATTTCCTCTCTATTAAGATTTTGTTCTCTATTTGGTTATAGGTTTATATAAGTTTTATGTATATTTTTCTAATGAGGATTAAAATGGAATTTTAGATATTTGTGAATATTAAGAATAACAAAATGGTTTAGAATATAATTCTCTTGATTCTTAAGTTTATAGTAATCTTTTAAAATGTTCATTTATTTTAATTTAATCTAAACTTTTAGATTGTTATCTTTATTTTTAAGAGAAACTATCATATTTTTTTTAATTTTAAGGTAAAGTAATTATTATATGCCCATCTTTTGGTTTATTTGTTGTACTTGTTTTTTATTATTTTGTTAATAACTTAAAACCAGAGTTTTGAGTTGTAATTTAACTTTGATAAGTATTTTAATTTAAGTTCTTATTTTTACTTTTTTAGAATTTAATATTTGTATTTATTTAGTTATATGTTTAAAATTGATTTTTAATATAAATTGGATCTTAATATGGATTAGGATGTAATTAAGAATAATCTTAAACAAAATATCTTTATTTTTATATTTTTTGAGTTTAAGGTGTCTATTTATTAATGATATTTTAAGGAACTTAATGCATCCATCTATATTTATCATTTTAATCTTATTATTCATTCATTTTTTAATCATTTTATGATTAGATTTCACTTTAACACATAATAATAGAATTGCGAGCAGAGAATGGAGCTGTTAAAGGAGCTGATTATATTTTGCTATTGAATATTTAATTAGATAATAGTCCATCAGATTTTTTCTATATTAAAATAAAAATATAATACAAATTTGATTCCAATTTAAGAATTTCTACTACAATTTATAATTTCTTTTTATTTATCAGTTTATATTGATTTGGGTGCTGAGCTTAAATTAAGAAGCTAAAATTACATTAAGATCTTTTATTTGTTTAAAATGATGTTAACTGTAAATTATTGAATAATTAACTTTCAGCATTTAGTTATTGTTTTAAAACAAAATCAAATTTTTTTTGTGATTCAGTCAAATTTATTTAGTTATCACTTGATATATGTGTAAATTTAAATACAATTTGATATTGGAATTAATTTAATTATGTAATTATGCAGAATAAGTAAATTAGGAGATGTTAAGGAAAGTAAGCTAAATAGGATTAAATAATATTATACATTGATATTAATAAGATCAGGAATAGCTATCAAACATTTGACTATATCAGAAAGCTGTTATATATTTTATCCATCAACTATAATGCTTTATTCAATTTACATATAAATAAATAATAATAAATAAAAATAGTGAACGATTTTAATTAGAAATAATTATGTTTTATGATTATAAAATCAATCAAATCTGATACGTCTTAAATTTGCAGCAAGGACAGAATCATCAGCTTGGATTATTTCAAATTTTTTTTGAATGAAAGAAAATTAGATTTCTTCTAAGCAATCTTAACTTGATGAAAACTTCACATTTTTTCCTTTGTAAACTTCTTCATCAAATCCTTAGACAATAACTCCAGGAGGAATCTTTATTGATTTAACTTAACTTATTTTTTCCTAAAAAATATTGATATTTATATATTACTCTAGCAAGTGATGGAGTATCTCTGCAGATTTCATATTTAGTTCCTTTGAATCCACATTCAGTATACAATTCAACACAATCTTCTTTTAATTCATAAAGTAATTAGAATTCTCTGAAACCCCAAGATTCATCATCAGCACCTTAGTCTAAAGTAGAACTTAAAACAACATTAGCAGTAGGATTAGTATGTTCAATGATGACATCAACATTGAAGAAATAAGTCATCCAAGTACTTTATGGAGCTCCACAAATTTTAGCTTATCCTGGAGTACTAAATCCAAATGATCTTTCAAAGACTACTTTGCCATCAACAAATAATTAGAATTTTTCATCATCCCATGAATCAACTTTCCAAAATTAGAATTAAATTCTAAGTCTAGAGTGTTTAGGAAGATTGAAATTTCTTTCAGCTTTAGCTTTGGCACCAAATCTTTGATAACCACCAAAAAGTTTCTTTTAACCACAAGTTGAAAATGGATTTTAATTTTAAAATACATTTGATGGAATCCAATCTTATAATCCTTAGAAATCTTATTCATCATTAAAGAAGAATCTATTTAATGTCATCCATTTAACTAATAATTATATATATTAATTTAATTACTTCCTTCTTTACATTCACCATTTACTAAATCAAAACCTTAACCACATGAAGTACAATCAGATTTTGCTGGTCCAGTACAACCTGTACATCCTTTGAAACATTAAGCAGCAAATAATTAGAAATCTCTAACACCCCATGATTCATTTTCAGGTGGTTCATCCAATGTTGATTTCATTAAAACTTTTACTTCAGGGAATTTATGAGGAACATTAATTTCAATATTAACTATTTTTTCAGCCCAACCTTCTCCTTATTTTGCACCTGTATCAACACCACAAAGATCAACTCCTTCATTATAAGCAAATGCTTGTCTGAATTTTTCTTAATCATCAATTTCCATTAAGAATAATTCATTATCCCAAGAATCTATCTTCCACATTTAAACCTTAACCTTAACTTAAAAGTGTGGAGGTAAATTTGTGAATCTCTTCCATAAATTAGCTTTTCTTCCTAATTTTCCAAAACCACCAAAAAGTTATACTCCTGCACATTCATTTGATTCAGCTTTTCCTTCTCCATCTAATGTCCATCCTTCTAATGAAATTTATTTATTCCAATTAGTAGCTGCATTTGTCCAAAAGAAACAATTATCTGGTTTATTATCACCACATACTGCACATTCTGGATGACATCTTTAGAATGATAATTTGAAATCTCTAAATGCCCATGATTCCTATTATATTTATTATAAATTATTTATACATTCAAAGCATCTTCATCCAAATTTGATGTCAATACTATACTTACAGTAGGTGAATTATGTGGAACTTCAAATTCAATATTATAAAAAGCCTCTTTCCAATCATTTGCTGCTCCACATAAATTTGCTCCCTCTGAATAATGCCATTTAGCTTGCCATATGAAACCATCAACCAAAACAAACATAATTTCATTATCCCAACTGTCAATTCTAAAGGTTTAATTATATAAATTAATTTTTACTTCCATAACTGCACATTAATCTTTAATTTATAATGTGGAGGAAGATTCAATTATTTTAATGCTGTTGCTCCTTTTCCAAAAGCTCCATAACCACCAACCAAACTGATTTTATCACATTTACTAAAGGTGTTTCCTTTAAATGCTTTCTTTACAACCCAACCTAAGCATATTTATCACTCTTTACCATCCAAATCATTTATTTCTGCTGATGTAAATGCTGTGTAATGAGTTACCCAAGGATCCTGAGCTAACAAGATTTACACACTTAATAAAATAAGCAGAATAGTCTTCATAATATATAAATATTAATGCTTATCAATTCTCTTTAAAAACGAATATTTTATAATTTTTATAAGCATATTATCAAATTTATATATAATCCTTCTACTTTCCAATAATTATATTCTTAACAAACAATATTATATGAAATAATCTAGTTTATTCTTGTATCTTAAATAAATTCAATTTCAAATCTTACCTATAAAAATAAATTAATTTATAGTAATTTTGCATAAAAAATAATTTACAGTAATATCATGTTTTTCATTTGATTCAATTTTATTATAATAAATTTCTTATGTTGATATATAAATTTAAATATCTTTGAAATTATGAATATTTTGGTGATTTGAAAATACTAATAAACTAATAATTAATTTATCTAATAAATATACTTTTATAAATAAAATGAGTATATTGATTTTTGTTGTAAAAGTAAAATAATAATTGATAAATAGTATACTCAATAATATATGATTATATCAATTTCTTAATCTTAAAATATATTATTTTGTGTATCAATTTAATTAAATAATTTTATTTGAATACAAAAAATGTTTAATAGCAAAGTAGATGAAAATTTCAAATAAGTGAAAATGAATCCACTTAATAATTCAACTAGCAAATAACTTTATTCCTTTTCAAAATCTCCTCGTTTCAATTATAAAGTTAATGTAGATTAAAATTCTTCTTCATTTTATGAGATCAAAGGCACTATTGGTTCTCCTAATAAAGGAGTTTCTTTTGGATTAGGAACAAAAGTAGATTTTTCAAAATTAAGTGATAAAACTCCAGGTCCAGGTTCTTATAAATTAGAAAAGGAAAAAACATCTACATATTTATAAAAACACACAATGGGAATAGGGAGAACTTACTTTAAATAAAAGAATGATATGCCATCTGTAGGGAAATATAATATTGCATCAAGCATAATTAAAAATGAAAGAATACCACATTTTGGTTAAAAAATTGCAATGAGTAAATGAAATAACAAATAGTAGAGGATGAAACATGTACTCCAGGTCCAGGGAAATATGATATTTAGTATAAGGAGCATTCTTAATCAGTAATTTACCATCCAGTATCAGGAAGAACAAGTCGTACACCTGATTATATTCCTGGACCATAATAATATAGACCTAAGACAGAATTATCTGCAAGTTATGTGAATTCAAATTGGTCAAATTGCAATGTACCAAAATTTTCAAAGGAAGAAAGATTTAATAGTAAATAAAGTAGTACACCAGGACCAGGGAAATATTAAATACCAGGAGAATTTGGTATATACTGATTTATATGAATAATTATAAAGTTTATTTAAGAGTGAGACCAATCGATTATGATTAATCTATGCTAAGTATAGATTAGAATGTTATCTCTATTAAGGTATATATTTATGAAAAATAATAACAGGATCCAACAAATAAATAAGCAGAATGGAATTAATATCGTTATGATAAGATTTTTCCATCCTCTTCAACATAATAAGAATTATTTGAAAGTGTGTTTAGTTTTGATTATGAGAATAAGAATGGATGTATAATATCTTATGGACAATCTGGTAGTGGTAAAAGTTACTCTTTATTTGGAAATATATAAAATCCAGGAATTGTTCCATTATTAATTTAATAGTTACTATAAAAAGGATAGAATGTTTAAGTGTCATTTTAAGAGATCTATGTAGATTAAATAAAAGATTTAAATACAAATCTAATCACTGAAGAATTTACAAAGCGATAAATATTGTTAATAAATGATTTTTGGGAAATGATCAAAATTTTAAGAACCACTGATATCAAAAGATAAATGAGAACTCATATTATACTTACATTAGAGATTAATTAAAATACTAAGTTATAATTTGTTGATTTAGCAGGATCTGAAAGAGTGGCAAAAAATATAACTGAAGGTGAAAAATTTTAAGAAGCAATATTAATTACTGCTAGTCATTAAGTTCTTAATCGTTGTTTAAATTCTTTTAATCAAAATCCAAATAAAATATTACCAAAAAAAGAATCAAAATTAACTTCAGCATTATTAATTGATAATAATACATAAGTTGTATTAATTGGAGCAATTAATCCTAGTTAATCAAATTATGAAGAATGTTTATTAACACTTTAATATTTAGATAGAACTAAAAATATATAAGTTACAATTAAAAAACAATAATCTATGTTAGGTTTTGATAATTAAGTTAATATTCAATAAGAAAAAGAAATAAAAAAATTAAAAGATGAAATAGAAGAATATAAAATAAAAATTGAATAATTAAATGCTGATAGAAAAAAGAGATTTCTTGAATTATAAAGACTTTTAGGTTTGGATATTGATTTAGAAAGACTTTCTGCTAAAAATGCAAAAGATATTACTATATTTAAAAACTAATAAGAAGCATTATTAAAAAATGTTAGTTTATAATAATAAATTGATGAATATCATTATGAAAATGCACAATTAAAAAAAGAAATTGAAGATTTAAAAAAGGATACACATAATAAATTAGAAAGATATTAATAATAAATTTTGGAGTAAAAAGAAATTAATAAAAAATTAAAAGATTAATTATAATTGTCTAAAATGAGTGGAGATGATGCAATTCGATTATTATCTTAAGATAGAGATTAATTTATTAAAAAATTATAAGATGAATCTAAAAATTTATTAGAAGATAAAGTAGCTTCTATACTTAATCTTCCTTAAACAGCATAAACTAAAAATGTTGAAAATTAAAAACTTTAAGAATTGAAAAAATTAATTAAAACTGAAGTTGAAAAAGAATTTAACAAAAGTTTAGAAATTATTAAAACTGAATATAATAAATCATTAGATCATTATAAATTTTAGTATGAATAAAAATTAAATGCTAAAGTAGAAGAAATTGAAAGTTTTCTTAATTAATTCAAAAAATATAGAGAAAAAAAGAAGTAAAATAGTTTTATATATAATTTAGATCATAAATTAATGAAATTGTTGAAGAATTATTAGATTTATATGATATTATAACAAAATAAGGCAAAGTTATTGATAAAATTGAAACAGGAGGATATAGTGGAGGATTAAAATCATTTAGTATTCCTAAATAAGACAAACCTAATTTACCTAATAAAGTCAAACATAAAAAGTATGAACCTTATTTTCTAATTATTTTTAGTTTATTTCATTTTTTAGAAACTAAAAGTGTTACTGCTACCTTGACTAAGAAAGCATCAAATGTAGAAAAAACAATTAAAACAGCTACTAAATAATTAAGATAATCATAAAGTTAAATTATTTTAGAAATTGATTATAATTAATTGGACTCTATAAATTTTATGTCTATGGATTTTAGTACTCTAAGGACATATGCAAATAAATTAAGAGAAATGATTAAAGAACTTCAAGATTAAATTACTGTCAATTCAGATAAATTTAAATAATAGATAGCATAACTTTAAAGAGGTATAATTTCAACTTTTTAGATTTCTTAAAGAACGAGATGATGCTTAATAAAAATATAATATGGAAAGTAGAAAATACAATTAAACGAGAGTTGTTATTGAATCTTAAAATAGAATATTATCAAAGGTTAGGCCATTAAGTTCAGTATCAAGAAAATAGTGATTTTGAATAATTTTTTATGTAAAAATCTAATCATTATATACTCCAACTCATTTTAGTTTAAAAAAATCCAAAGCTTATTCCTTCCTATGATTCTGGTTCATCTTATGATTATTTCTTTATGTTTTAATATTTCTCTTTCCAAGTTTTCTATAATTTTAATATAATTTTACATAAATTTAAGCCCATTATTACTTTTCTTGAAACTAATCAAAAGTTTATTATTTGTAACTCTATAATAAGGCTTATACTTATAGATTTTCCTTTTAAGTATCATAAAGCTTTTTATTAAGTTTTAGCATTTTCATTATATCATCAATAGACTTTTTATAATTCTAAAAATAAAGTTCATTTTATGAATGTTATAATTAATTTTAATTAAATTTCTTTTCTCCAAAAGAATGTCTTTATATCTAATTATAATAAATTAACAATTACTAATTAAATTAAAAATTATTGAAATTATTCTAATAAATTAAGAGTTAATTCATAGTTTGAAAAATCAACTATCCAACTTAAATTAATAGAAAATATTTTTTAAGTTATCTAAAACAATTTCATAAAAAAGAACTCTTTTCTTATATTAAAAATTTTATCAAAGCAATTCTAAATTTAATCTATTTTAGGCCATAATTGATTTGGAATCTCTTATTAAAAATCAGCTAATTTAACTTATAATAATCTTTAACAAATAGGTTTTAATATCTGTATTTCAATAGAATATTGTTGTTTTAATTCAAAATCATTTAATAATGAATTTAAAATATCTTATAATATTTTTCTTTTTCTATCCAAACTTACATCTAAGATGGATTTTTATTTCAATAATTATAGTATCTTTCCAACATGTTCAAGTTAATACTCTTTTTTAAATTCTTATAATAAGTTAATATGATCTGCCCATAATGTAATTTCCTAAATAAAACTGTCAGTCTATATTTTTGCAATATTTATTTATTTTTCAAGACTATTTAAATTAAGAGTCCAAACTGTGATAGTTTATTTAAGATCTTCATCAGACTATTTTAAATTTAACAAAATACAAGGATATTGTCTTCAATCTTGTTTTTATTTTTTAAAAATACTAACTTTTTTTAAGGTGGATTATAATTAACAGGTTTAATTAACCATTATTCTTTTTATATTGTTTCTTAAGTAGATGGACGTGATTTTCCAACTTTTGAATAAAATGAGTTTTTCAAAAAGCTTTCTTTCATATTTGAATCATTTGTAGTAGCTTGACTAATTTGATCACTATCAAATATCATCATATTCCATACTTAATAACTTTATACCATATAAAATGAAATTCTACAAACTTTAAATATAATTATATTCAACCTGATCGTAATTGCATTTATTCTTTTTTATTGAGATAAGAAATAATATCATCTCCACAAATTTCAAAGATCTTTCTAAATTTATCTGATAAATCTGGTAGATTTTATTCCTACTTTTTGAAGTCATTTCTTAAGTCTTTTTTTTGAATTAATGATCTTCTAATTTACATATTAATATATATAAATATTGTTTTTTATGAGTATATATATATATCTATTTATTCAACTTAGCAATTGTTTGCGAAAATTAGATTTTTACATTTTCTTAAAGATATTTTTAAATTAATTACCACAATTTCTTCTTAAAATTCTTTAGATAATAATTCTTTTTATTTTTCAGCTTCTAATCTAAGTCTTTGTCTCTCTTTCAATTCTTTTTCTTTTTCTTATTTTAATTTTTCTACTTTATCTAATTTTTCTTCAAACATTTCTCCTTTTTTCATTCTTTCTTTTTATAAAATTTATTGTTATTCTTCAACTTACTTAAAATATGTTTATAATTTTTATTATTCTTATTTTTATCTATCACTTAATTACTTATTTAAATTCTCTTATAACTATTAAATATTCTAAATTATATATACTTCTTATGAAGATTTGAATTTAGCATCTAAAGATTGACTTAACTCTTTTAATTTTTTTTTTTCTAACTTTTTCTTATTTTCTAAAACTTATTCAATTTAATTTTGATGTTCTTATTTTTTTTAATTTAAAAAGTCCTATTGCTCTTTCTAATATTCTTATTCAAATTTAATAACTGTTTAAATTGTTTTCTTAACATGATGTTGTGATTACTATAATTATAATATATATCTTTACTTTTAATTATTCTTATTCAATCATTTTTGCTTAACTTAAATTTTTTTCAAATTCCATTCTTTTTTATTCAGCCTTCTATTTTAAATCTTCTTTCAATTTTAATTGCTTCATTGATATGTCTTAGAACTTTTCTTTTTTTTTCAATAACAGTTGTGAATTTCTAATTTCCTTATCTCTTAATTATTTTTCATATTCCATAAGATGCTACAATTCTCTTTATTGTTTTTATCTTAGCTTTAATAGTGGATCTATTTTTGACATTATTTACAAACAATTAAAATAAATAAATAATTATATATAATCATAAAAGTAGTAATGTGACATTTCCTAATTTTTCTAATTATTTACATAATTATATAATATATACATATAATTTATAGTTTAGAAAAGCTATAATAATCAATAATATTGTGATTTATAAGTTATTTATCATTATAATTAAATTCTTTAATTGTTTACTTTTAATTCTCAATTTCTATCTGTACAATAAATCTTGTTCTTATATTATTTTATATCATATTTCAATATTAATTTTGTATTTATATAATTTTTGAGTCTCTTCATATCATATCAATCCATTTTAAGTCTTTTTTACCCATTAATCATAAGCATTTCATTACAAGTTTAATATTGGGACTTATTACTTAGAAATTTGAGATTCAGAGTATGAATAGCATCTTTATTATATATTTTGAATAGTTGATTATTGTATTCATGTTAAACAAATCTCATTTCTGCAATTATCTATCAGATAACATTCATAATCTTTCATAAAATATCTTTGACTTTTTATAATTCCTTTATTTTTAATTATTATTGATATAATGGAGAGCTCTTTAGTTGAATAAGAATAATGAGAGTTTAATTAATAAATGAATTAATGAAATAAATATTAACAATTTAAGTGGGTTAAAGTGGCAATCAGATAGGAAATGCTATATGGAATCAAATGATGGAGGATTGTGGTGAAAATTTGGATTAAAAGTTTTTTCGTAAAGGGATTCCTCGAACGTTATTAGTAGATAGTGAAGATAATACATTAGATAAGATTAGAGGAAATAAGAATTTATCATATTATGATCCAAATAATTTTGTAAGTGGAAAGGGTGGTAAATGTTTGACATTTGCAAGTGGTTATTATGGTTAGAATGATTTATTTGATGAAATAATTGAAAAGATAAGAAAAGAGTAAGAATAATGTGATGGAGTATAAGCAGTATAATTAATTCATTCAATAAATGGTGGAACTGGATCTGGTATTGGAGCTAAATTAATATATTATACAAGTGATAATTTTTGTGATTGTTCACAAATCAACATTACTATATATCCATCAAAATATGAAAATAGTGTAATTTATCCTTATAATTCTTTACTTGGTTTAATGCATCTTAATTATAATTAAAATATGGGATTCTATTTTGATAATGATGCATTATAACAAATGACAGAGAATATGTTTATATATGATTAAAATTACGAAACGTACAATCAATTATTAGCTTTTGCAATGGATGGAATCTACAAATCCTTTCGTCATAATTCTTATTCTAATACTAATTTTTATAAGATCTAAACCAATATCACTCCTTTTCCAAAATTACATTGCTATACTGTATCATTAGCTCCTTTATTTTCATATATCAATTCACCAAGTCTACTATAAATGAGTAAAGAAATCTACTCTAAACGAAATCAAACATTCTCGATGTCTTTATCTTAAGGTTTATTTTTAGCTTAACAAATCATGATCTATGGTAATACTGATGTATTTTCAGTCCAGTAAGAATTCAAGTAGACTATTAATTCTGATGATATATAATTCGTCAAATGGATTGCTGATCCAATAACTTATAGCGTTTGTCCAGTTAAATAAAAATAATGTGATTTAATGGCTTTTTCAATCAATCATCATACTGCTATGGGAAATAAACTTAATTTATTGTAACAACAATATAGAACTCTTTTTCAAAAGCGAGCTTATTTACATATATTTTTACAAGATGGTCTTGATGAATTAGAATTATAAGAAGCAGAGTCTGCATGTGGAGATGTAATTTCAGAATATTGTTGTTGCAATGATTAAACTGATACTACAGATGAATGATTATATTGTTTTTTTTTTTATTATAATTTATAAACAAATCGAATATATTATGTTAACTCCATTCAATAAAGGTCTTAATCACGATCCCATCTATTTCTGTAGGCATTATTGAAATTGGAGTTGCAACAATAGTTGTATAACTAAGGACGTGAATCCTCATAGTTTGAGATGTAATCATCGCACTCATCATAACATTGATCTTATAAGTATTTTTATCAATCATACCTAAAATTGGCTTAACCATTGGAGTATTATATTCTATCATAGGCTTTGCTATGATATTAAATACGTTCTCTCCATCCAACTTTTAATTACTAATTCTCCTTTGATTTCTTTTGTTCCTCTTTTACCCTGCTGCAGTATAAGGGTTGAATTTCTGATGATGCGATCTACATATTACTTTATTTTACCTACACTAAGATGGAGATCTGGTTCCAATTGTTTATGACATCAACTTAAAGATTTTGTTATTCTTTCTATTTTATTGGCTCTACATTGATGTGCTGTGATGCTACTCTAAGAACTCTACATATATTTGATGTTCCTGATTAGTCCAATGGCCTTAATTTTTTATCCCATTTTAACTTTATTCCTTGTTGATTTTCTTTTTTATACCTTCTGTCTTCTTGCTCCCATCCTATAAATCATTATAATTATCCATACTTATTAACTAAAACCAATTTCACTTCCATTATTTGTTCTTTGACTGCTATTGGTCTCACTAATTTCATTTTATTAACCATATTGATTTTCTTAAGGATGAGATGTATTAGAAGGTAAGTTTAAGACACAGTTGTCCTTCATTCAAGGTATTAAAATAATTATTATATTCCCATCTACATATTATCCTCATAAGTCCAAATACACTAAAATATTTTCACCTACCCCCTTACATCTTCTAATTTTTATAATTAATAATTTATCAATATTGTTATAATTATTTTTTTATTATTTTTATACCACATTTAGATCAATTTAAATCTCATCATTCTCTTATTTAAATTCAATAAAGTTTAATAATTGAAATCATTCATAATTCAATTAATAAAATTCTTATTAATTATAATGAAATTAATTTCTATACTAAATTATTATAACATTAAAAAATTATTTTATCCATATAAATATTATCTAAATTAGATCTTATTTAATTTTGGATTAAAATAAATATTTATAATTTCTATGAAAGTATATAGAAATTAATTCATTTTCAAAGGAATATTATTATTTTATACTAATTATTTGATATCAAAAGTTTTTGAATAGATTCATTAGAGATTGATATTATAAAATTATTGATGATTATATACATTATCTTTAATATTTTTTGGATTAAAAACTTTGAGAAAAAAGATCAATATTTAATTATAAATCAATTTAGAAATATAATATATTAACATACGCAAGTGTTGTAAAACAATCAGAATCTCAATGACTTTTCACTTTTTACAGCTCCATATTTTTCATTTAATAAACTCTTTATTTTAGTATAGTCATTATAACTCCATGATTTCTTTATGTCCTTTTCATCCAACATCTTCAATGCCTATATTAATATAAAATAATTAACATACTTATCCCCATGTTACAAATCTACCCTTGACTCTTAATCTCTCTTCAGCTACCTTTTATCTTATATGATAATGAACTTTCTTTTCATAAGTTCGATTATGTTTTTTTTCTAGATATCGTTTAACTTTTTATTTTCTTGCCATTTCCTTTAGTGATTCATGATTAGTTGAAGTACATAATTATTCAACCCAATCTTCAAATTTTAATGTTTCTTCATCATTTAGGATATCATCACATAATCCAACTTTGATTCTCAATAAATCATCTCCCTTTACATAATTTGAAACAAATTCATCCTATTTTTGTGAAGGATTGAATCTCAAAATTAATTCACCTAAATGATTATCAATATTAGAAGGAGCAGGTAAATTCTTGGGGTAAGAATATTTCTTTTAATTTTCACGTTAGAGCATATCAGCCAATCTTTCCAAATCTCCCATTTGTTATACTTCTGATTGTTCTGTTGTAGTAGATGATTCCATTTAAGTGCATACTTTTTTTTTTGGATCTTCATCTAGATTGAATTCATCAAAAGAAATTGGCTTAGGTCTTTTGAAATGTGATAACTACTAAGGTGAATAAACAGGTAATTGTATCTCCTCTTATTATTCTTCCTCCTAATTCAAATATATGCAAAATGTATTACTTATTCATTCTCTGCCATATAATGAGGTTCACAATAAGTAAAGGAGTTTTCCTTTTCTATTTCTAGCTTCTCATTCTTATCAAATACTATATCACTTAACACTTTAAGGGTGTTCATATTACGCACAAGATTTTATTTTGGTTTAAAAATCTTTTTATTTATATCCAAATTATCATAAAACCTTAAGTAGGGGGCCATCCATTTAGAGAAAGGATGCTTAATAATTAAAATTTTCTTATTGTAATGAAAAAGTTAGAGAAAGAATAGATAAATATATTATTTGTTTGAATTAAGAAAGCAGTTATGAAATCATAATAATATAATTTATCAAATATATTTTATATGGATAACTTTTATATGAAGAATATAAACTAATATATTATTAATTGAATAATACTAATCAATTTTGTAATAGATATATATTATAAATGGATTATATATATATATCAAAATAAAGTTTATATATATATTGCTTAATGAAAAGATGGATATGTTAATATAATTGAGGATTAGTTTAATTTATATTATTAATTTTAAAATTATGTATTAAGACGCCAGTTACTATTCATAATCGTAGTAGAAATAATCAGTAAAGAATAATTCAATGAAAGTTGCTCGATAATGGTAGATTAATGATTAAAAGGCAGAGAAAAATGGATTACATAAAGCAATTTATTGGGTAAAAAGTTAAACAAAGAATGAAGATGGAACATAAAAATAAGAGAGATGGGTGGCAGATTAAAAATATGTAGGTGATTGGAATCAAAATAAAAAATGTGGATTTGGTGTATAATATTATGGAAATGGTGATAAATATGAAGGAGGATGGTTTGATAATCAAAGAAATGGATAAGGTACATATTGGGTGAGTGAAGGAAAGAATAAGTATAAACATTCAATTTTATGATTATAGAATGAGAAGAGAATATACAGGTGATTGGGTAAATGATAAGAAAACAGGAAAAGGAACTATGTTTTATTAGAATGGAAATAGATATGATGGTGTATGGTAAGATGATAAATCTCATGGAGAAGGACGTATGATTTATGCAAATGGTGATGTTTATGAAGGATCATGGTTTAAGGGTTTAAGAAGTGGTTATGGAGTTTTAACTAAAAGAAATGGTGATCATTTTGAAGGCTATTGGGTAAATGATAAAAGAGTAATAATTATATATATTATTATTTGTATAGGAAGGTCAAGGATCTTACTTCTTTGCTACTAAAAATCAAGTATTTGTTGGAGAATGGGTAGATGATATGCCCAAAACTGGAGTGTATTCTGAAGTAGAAGATCCGTATACAGTGAAAGAGGAAAGGGAGAAGCATTTCATGGATCCTTATGTGTTGCCAGATATTCCTAAAGTTGAATTACAAGATCCTACAAATGTTCTTAAAGATTCAATGGAATTGGCTAGAAGGGAGAGAATCATTTATAGAGCCATACATATTCCATTAGATGAGATGTATTCTAAATAAGAGATGGAAGATTTAGCTTTATAATTTGAGTCTGCATCTAATTAGGAACATAAAATTACTTTAATTAATAGCAAGGCCATATTTTAGAGCATGGGTTTTGATATTGAAGGTAATTTAATATATAGAGTTATTTTTTAGAAAAATTACTTCAAAGTTATTTAAAACATTTGTAATAAGACAAGTATAATGAATTTGAGATAGAATTGGAAACATTCATGAGATTAGTAGCAATTATATTAGAAAGTCAAGGGTTTGATTAATCAGATATTAATATTTGATATATATATATATTATTATTAGTATTAATTAATATTATAAAATTATTCAAAGTAGTACTAAGTACTATTTTTTTCGTTTTTAGTTTTTAAAAACTTAACAGTTGAGTTTAACTTAATTATAAATTTATTTTGAATTCAACTAAAGAATTGTGAAATTTTAATAATTTTATACATTTAGATATAAATGATATTGTGAATGTTTTGATTAAATTTGTAAAAAATAGTTATTATTAACAATTCTTAATAAGAACATACAATGGATTTAGTATCAGTAACAATTTCTAATGCAAATAACTAACTTAAATTTGATATTTAAATTTATATGATTAATTTCCATAATAAAATTAATTATCAATAGTATTGAATGAAGATGTAGTTGATTCAATTTTAATATAGTTAATTAAATTCAACAATATGAATCAGACAATTAGGCAACATGTTTGCTAATTAATTAAGTTATATATAGTATATGATTTAATTCATCCACACATAAATTGCTTTGTTCCTATAAGTTTTGTACATTTTGAACATCTATGTTTAGCATCTTTACATCCATCTAGAACACAAGGTAAGAAAGCAAGGACAGCTGTTACTATGCCTACTATTAAAATGAACATTAATATATAACTACACCTACCCATCTCAAATAAAACATCTGTTTCAACCACTTGATTGCATTTAGTACACAATAATTTTTCTTTATTTCTTGATTAAGGCACTTTAGGATAGTCAACATCTTATTCAATCAATTTATTTTGAATAGATAGTTCTACTTAGTTTGATTTTATTATTTAGTAGGTGCCTTAAGATTGACCACTTCTAGTTTGTTGATTTTGTTAATCAGTATCAATCATAGGATTCGAAATCATTTATTATTAATATATAATTAAGGTATCAATTCTTAATATTGATTAAACATCTAATATTCATAATATTAAGAATACTTATTTATCTATGATATTTTATCATTTACAATTATATACATATCTATAATTAATAAAAATAAAATATGATTTATAAATCATCTTCTATTTCCTTAAATAGTTTATATTTAAATGTATCCTAAATAATTTTGTGATTACTTCCTAAATTTATGAGTTTATTTAAATTTTTAAGATAATCAATTTGTTATGAAACTTTTCAAATATTATCCAATTAAATAGTTATATAATAATTTGAGTTGAATTAAATAATAAGTTAAACGATTTGAAATAATTACAATAAATAATAAACAAGTTTATTTAAATAAAATAATTGAAGAAATGATTCAAATAATATTTAGTTGCATATTAAAAATGCAACTATTTAGAATATAGACTTATAAATCAGTTTGATTGATATATTTACAAATTATATTATATGATAATATGTATTTCAATTATAGTAATAAATTTGTATCACAAAAGAAATAAATAAAATTTTAATGTAATTTAAATATTTAACATATATATTTGATAATAATATGCAAAAATTTAATCATTATTTAGAATGTTATGCATATGATATACATTTTCTACATTTATTATTGCCAAATGTATGTCCAATTAATTTATTACATATTATTTTATTGAGATTTGATATTTCTACTTTTTAACATTTTTAATCAATTAATTGACATAAAAATGTATTTCCTAAATTATTCACATATTCTCCATTACATTCTTTATTGCTAAGATTCTCACATTCTATTTCTTAACAAACTTTATTATTATATCTACATCCAGCTTATTCACAGACATCTTATTCATTTATTAATTCACAATTTTATATCCAATTTTTTCTTTCTTTACATGTTCCATCCCAATAACAAAATGATTCTAAAGAAAGAGGATGACTCTATGCTATAAGATAACTATTGCAAGTATCTTTATCATATATTTAATCACATTTTTCTGCTTTAAAACAATAACCACTAACTAAATCATAAGCACACTAAAATAATTAACATTTTTCTCTTGCAATTTTAGGATTCTCTACTATTTACAATTATTCACAACTATTCAATTCAACACAATTATCATTCTTAATATAACAATATTTTGGATTTGAGCTTAAAAATTATGAAGCCTTTATACAATTTTCTAAAGTTCTCTCATTGCATTCAGATATTCTACACTCATTTTAATTCCAAAAACATTTATGTGCCTCACATGATTCTTAATTATCATGTTCATTGCAATCACAAGCTGTTGGATAATTTATTGAAGCATTAATACAATACAGAATTGTAAATAAGATGTACAATTTCATATATTAATATAAATAAAATATGTTATAATTTAAATTTTTATTAGCTAAAACATATGAAAAACAATAATATAATTATTTTTAGACATATATTATTTAATTTCATATAAATAAGACAATGATGAATATTGATATTTATTTATTACTTAATAACAATATTTAGGAGGAATAAATCTATTTTTTATTTATTAATATTAATTCATTTTTTCTAANCAATAAATAATAAACAAGTTTATTTAAATAAAATAATTGAAGAAATGATTCAAATAATATTTAGTTGCATATTAAAAATGCAACTATTTAGAATATAGACTTATAAATCAGTTTGATTGATATATTTACAAATTATATTATATGATAATATGTATTTCAATTATAGTAATAAATTTGTATCACAAAAGAAATAAATAAAATTTTAATGTAATTTAAATATTTAACATATATATTTGATAATAATATGCAAAAATTTAATCATTATTTAGAATGTTATGCATATGATATACATTTTCTACATTTATTATTGCCAAATGTATGTCCAATTAATTTATTACATATTATTTTATTGAGATTTGATATTTCTACTTTTTAACATTTTTAATCAATTAATTGACATAAAAATGTATTTCCTAAATTATTCACATATTCTCCATTACATTCTTTATTGCTAAGATTCTCACATTCTATTTCTTAACAAACTTTATTATTATATCTACATCCAGCTTATTCACAGACATCTTATTCATTTATTAATTCACAATTTTATATCCAATTTTTTCTTTCTTTACATGTTCCATCCCAATAACAAAATGATTCTAAAGAAAGAGGATGACTCTATGCTATAAGATAACTATTGCAAGTATCTTTATCATATATTTAATCACATTTTTCTGCTTTAAAACAATAACCACTAACTAAATCATAAGCACACTAAAATAATTAACATTTTTCTCTTGCAATTTTAGGATTCTCTACTATTTACAATTATTCACAACTATTCAATTCAACACAATTATCATTCTTAATATAACAATATTTTGGATTTGAGCTTAAAAATTATGAAGCCTTTATACAATTTTCTAAAGTTCTCTCATTGCATTCAGATATTCTACACTCATTTTAATTCCAAAAACATTTATGTGCCTCACATGATTCTTAATTATCATGTTCATTGCAATCACAAGCTGTTGGATAATTTATTGAAGCATTAATACAATACAGAATTGTAAATAAGATGTACAATTTCATATATTAATATAAATAAAATATGTTATAATTTAAATTTTTATTAGCTAAAACATATGAAAAACAATAATATAATTATTTTTAGACATATATTATTTAATTTCATATAAATAAGACAATGATGAATATTGATATTTATTTATTACTTAATAACAATATTTAGGAGGAATAAATCTATTTTTTATTTATTAATATTAATTCATTTTTTCTAAAACTAATTAAAATAGATTTAGTAAATATTTTATTAATTATAATTTTTATTTCCTTCTTTTTTGGAGTTATTATGAAAAATAATTATAAATGAATAAATTTATATTATTATAAAAAGAATGAAATTATATATTTTATTTATGATATAATAAATATTTGTTTTGTATTTAATGAACATACTTAAAAAATTAGTAAATTTTAAAATTGTTATATAGGCATTCTTCTTAATTTACAAGAATAATATTAATTAATTTATGGATTATTATAATAATAGATATTTATTATATATATTTTATTTTTAAATAATATTAATGGGTTGTTGCATGAAAAGAAAGGCTCATGTGGCAGCCAGTTCCAATAATCCAAGTCTTAGATAGACTAAGAAATTCGATACTCAACGTTCTCGAATTGATGAAATGAAGTCTGAAGTATTTGAGAAAACATTATATGGAAATGAAGATAACTATTATGATGCAGATGAATTACGTTGCATTGATCGCAATTAACTATTAAGTCTTATTAAAAGTGAACCCAAAAAAATACGTTGGACTCCAGGATAAGTGATTGGGTAAGGTTCATTTGGAAGAGTTATAGAGGCAATGAATCTAGATACAGGATAATTGATGGCAGTTAAATAGGTAATGGTTGATGTTAGAAATGAAGATCGAATAATAGCTCTTGAAATAGAAATCGATTTACTTTCTTTAATTAATCATAAGAATATAGTTTCTTATTATGGAATGGAACGTACAGAAAAGACATTAAATATCTTTCTGGAAAGAGTTGCAGGTGGATCTTTGAGTTCAATGCTTTAAAAATTTGGTCCTTTTAAGGAACCTTTGATTAAAGTTTATATGCGCTAAATTTTATTGGGATTAGAATATTTACATTAAAATGGCATAATGCATAGAGATATTAAGGGTGCAAATGTATTAGTTGACAATTAAGGAGTTTGCAAATTGGCTGATTTTGGTAGCAGTAAGAAGATTGCATTAAATAGCAATAGCACTATATTTGGAACTCCTAATTTTATGGCTCCTGAAGTAGTAAAATAATAAAAATCTGGGAGGAAGGCTGATATTTGGAGTCTAGGATGTACTATGATAGAATTGGCTACAGGTAAGCCACCATGGCATCAAATAACAAATTAATTTGCAGTTATGATCAGAATAGGTAAAGGTGAAATACCAGAAATTCCAGAAGGATTTTCTGAAGAAGCCAAAAATTTTGTTTCGCATTGTTTAGAGTATTTAAGGGAGTAAATATATTATTAGGGTTGATGAACATAAACGATGGAATGCTACCAAATTATTAAAACATCCTTTTCTGATCCAATAGAATAAACTCGAAATTCCTTAAGGAAGGACTCCTTTACGTAATACACCTGGAAGTAAATCAAAATAAAAATAGAAATCATTTAAATATCCAGAATAGGAAACTTCTCACTCTCCTGGTTAATTAAAAGAATTTGATTAACAGCAATCAGATCACCTTCAACCTATGATTGATAGTTCCTTTGTTCTCAAATAGAGAAGATAATAGGAATGATAAAAACTACTTTGTATTTTAATTAGTTTTTTTATTAAATTATAATCTTAATAATAAATAAAATTATTTTAATTTCAGTTTATATGCATCAAGAACTATAAAAATTGGAATAATTGAATAGTCAAGAATTAGAATTAGTAAAATAGGTATATGAATAAAAAGTAAGGCAATTATTTTAATATAATTAGGTTGTATATTTAAATACAAAAATTTACATGCTTTCAAAAGAACTGGAGTAAAAAACATCTGAAGTATCAAAGATAAAAAGAAGTTAAATTGTTGTTTAAGAGGATCCTATATAAGAAGATAATTTAATTGAAATAGAAAGAGCTAAGACATAGGATTTAATTAAAGAAACTAAAGAATAGATGGAATAAGAGTTATTAGAATTAAAATCTTAATACTCTAAAGAATTATTTGAGCTTTAAAAATAATTAAGAAAAAGAGACTTAATGATAGAGTAATTAATGATAGAAATATAAATGTATAAAAATTGTTAAAATTAAAATCTCGACAAAATGAAGGTAGAATATCTTTCCTAATTGATTGAGATTGTTTAGGATATCTAAATTTAAATTTAGTAATGATGATGTATTTTATTTATTTTATGTTTCATATTTTAAAATATTTAAGTATAAATTTTTGACATAAGATTGATTTGATGTAGTATATATAAGAATAGTATTGATTATGTATTATTAAAGAATAGTTATTTAGATATTAGTTTGAAAAATAAAGAATTGTATTAATAAATATTTAGATTTAGGTAGTTAAATAATTAGAATGAATATAACATCTATTGTATTTTTATAGTTTAATATAAAGTAAATAAATAATCTGTTATAAAAAGGGATAACAGATTCTATAAGATTTATTAAGAGTAATCGTTAATACTAAAATTAGATTATTAACAATCATAATTAGATTGAATAAAATATCATACTTGATACTATTTTTTTTTTTTTTGCAAGATTATTAATATTATTATAAATGCAACCATAATCTAAATCATCGCAGAAGGAAGATGAACACTGTTAAGTAGAAGATCATATTTAAAGGAAATTTGAACTACTTGAATTTAAAGGAAAAGGAGCTTATGGAGTAGTTTGGAAGGCAGTTGACCGTAAAACAAAATAGATTGTTGCATTGAAGAAAGTAATTTTAGTTTAAAAATGATAGATTTTTGATGCATTTCATAATGCCACTGATTCACAAAGGACATTTCGTGAAGTAGTTTTTCTAGAGTAGTTGGTAAACCATGAAAACATCATTAAATTAACATGTGTCATAAAAGCAGAAAATAACAAAGATCTGTATATGGTATTTGACTTTATGGAAACAGATCTTCATAAAGTATTGATATGTAATAGTAATTTTAAAGGTCATAAGAGCAAACATCTTAGAACCCATTCATAAAAAATATATAATATACCAAATACTCAAAGGTCTTAAATATCTTCACTCTGGTGAACTTATCCATCGAGATTTAAAGCCTTCCAACTTACTTATCAATTCAGAATGCAAGGTCAAAGTTGCTGACTTTGGTTTAGCAAGGAGTGTAGCTAAACCAGATGACAATAGTAAGTGTTTTTATGATAACAATGCTTAGGCAATCCAATTCTTACTGAATACGTAGCTACTAGATGGTACAGAGCTCCAGAAATATTATTGGGTTCTTAAAATTATTCCAAGGCAGTTGATATGTGGAGTTTGGGTTGTATCTTGGGAGAAATGATAATAGGGAAGGCTATCTTTCCTGGAACTTCAACTCTAAATTAAATTGAAAGAATTATTGAATTGATTGGAAGACCTAAATAGGATGAATTGGATGCTATTAAAGCTCCATTAGCTGATTAAGTAATATCAAATATTAGTACCTAAAAAAGAAAAAGCATAACATAATTATTTGCTTCAGGTGAAGATGAAGCAATTGATTTCATCAGGTAATGATGTAAATTTAAAAATAAGGTAAACTCTGATTTATAATCCATATAAAAGAATGACAGTAGAATAAGCATTAAATCATCCTTATGTAAAAGAATTCAAAGGAACTGAAGATGAAATTTCTAGAGGTATTTGAATTAGACATTTCTTAGATAGTGCAATTGAAACTTTCATGGATGATAATCATAAATTTACAGTAAAAGAATATAGAGATGCTCTTTATTCTCATATAACTTAGAAGAAGAAAATGGAACATTAAATTTTGATTCGTAATTTAAAGAATGTTCCAGTTAATATAAGTGCTGAGAAATCTACATCACCTACAAAAAAGGATTCATTTCTCAAAAAAAGCAAAGATTCAGAACCATCTAACACAGATATTAGTGATAATAAATAATATGAATCTCAAAATGTTAATCGACCTTTTCATCATAAAACACCATCTTATACTTAATAATTAAGAAAAAAAACTACATCATAAGAACATGCATATAATAATGAACCTACAAATTAATTTATTTATTAAAGTCCAAATATGATGATGTAAAAAAAACAATCTTAATCAATCTTTCCTAATGTTGATAGTGGAAGTCCATTAAAATAAATCCCTAGAAAATAATCAATGTAAAACATTTAAAATAGTGTCTCGACAGTTTTATAAAATACATTATCATCAAACCTATAAAGTCAAAGTGCTTTGTAGGTCTCTCAACATTAACTCTCAAGAAAAGGTTCTTAAGGTAGTATTTAAAAATCATCCTCATATAAAATGTCAGCAACAAATTATAACTCAACTAATTATAACTCAGCATTTTAACAATTAAGTAAAATCAGAAAATGATAATTTACATATAAACATAATAATAAATATAATTTATTTTTATATTCTATAAATTAAATATAATAAATAATTACTATTTTTACATTATAATTTTTAAAATATCTAAATTTCTCTATTATAATTAATTTATCACAAATTATCAAAAAAATCCTCCAGACTTTATTTCAGTTCCTTAAATATTGGATTTCTATGATTGAACTATCGATTTTGGTCCAGATTTATTTGATTTAGAGACAGATTTTTATGATTTCTCACTTCCTTATCTATTTACTTATGGAAATCTCACTCTCACTTAAGATTCATTTTGATTTTAAACATTATCTTTAAATTGAATTCCTTCAGGTATGCTTACTTCATGAATTGGAGCATCTGACACTGACTTTGTCATTTGAACCTTTTCCCAAGAATTTAAAGGTGGTTTAGGTGGTAATGCTTTAACAATATGATCTATTTCTGGTTTTTCTAAAGTAATTATATCGAATTCTATTTATAAATTTATTAATTATTATTACCTTTATCATATTTTTTAATTAAATCATCATATTTATGTCTTTTTATCAATCTATCTTGAGTTCTCATTTATTCTTATATATCTCTTTCTTTATATTCATTTTCTAAAACATGTCTTATTTCATAACGTTTTTTATGATTTCTATTGATTTCATCAATCATTTTAATTTCTTCAGGTATCTCTTTTGTTTAATCTAAATAAACTGATTCTCTAAATTTCCAAGATGGTGGAAATCTATCATTAAAATGTTTGCCATGATTTTATTAGTCCTATTTCAATTTCCTCATTTTTATTGGAAAAAATACTATTAATATTCCTACTCTTTTTCATCATTATAAAAATTTCCTGCAACAATATCATAATTTCTAACTCTTTTACATTTATCATTAATATCTGACATTATAGCAACTTCTTATTCTTAAGCTTTTAATTCATGATTATCCAAAAACCTGAATAATTTTAATTTTGAACTTGTTTGTAATGATATTAAAATCTCTCTTATTTCTATTAATGACTGGTTTCTCATGAACTCTTTTCTAAACAACAACTTTCATATTTTTATAGTATTCTTCACTCTTTTTTTCATTTGTAATTATATTATAATCATTAAAATTAGGTGGTAACTAACATATAATGTAATTATATACTAAACATTATTTAGTTTTCTCTCTCTCATCTAATCTCTCTATTCCTTAAATTTACTCTAAATTAACTAAATCATATTCATGCATATATTTCTTAACCATTTCCTATCAAATATAAAATCACAATACCATTTTCTTTTATGCTAATGTTGATGTCTTTTGAAAATCTTTATCCTTCTCTTTAACATCCCTTTCTGGATTTTGATAAGTTTATAAAACAGGATTGAATTCAGTCTGTTTCAATTTCATTTCTTTTTATGTGAAGATCTTTGGTTTCTAAAATTCCACTTTTTATTTTCTATTCCCTTGATATCTATAATTAATATAGAATCTTACTCTTTCAATTCTTCTGCCCATGCTTTAGTGTCAGCTGGATCAATATACATCAAGCAGTTATTAATTTATTACTTATAAAGATAAATAAATGATAAACTATATGTTAATATTTTGTATCTATTGACTATTTGAATAATATATAAACAATTTCATATCAATAGATAAATCTTAATTAGTCTTAATTAACAATACTATTTTTCATTAATTTTATATATGTAATAAAATGATAAAAAAATTGATATCAATCCTCTTCCTAAAAATTAAATTATAGTTCCTTATTATTTTTAAACACAAAAATATGATTTAACAGATAATGATCTCAATATACTGTCTAAATATTTTTAAGAGTATTTTGTATATTCACTACTAATATAAGCAAAACAATATTGTAACAAATACCCAATAATTTATCCAAATATAAGAGTTTAAATCCATATAAAGATTCTTTTAAAAAAGTTCTTATCTATTTACTGATATTTTAGGTTGCCTTGAAATATTTAACACATTTCCTATATTTTTTAATACTTTTTCTATTTATGTATTTTTGGATTGGGTTGTTTATTATAGTTTTTACAGATCCAATCATAATGACTCTGTATAGTTATTTTATACTTTACTTAATTTTGTATAAAAGAATACGATTAGGAGTTGTATTAATATTAGATTATGGAAAGTCTATACATTTACAAATTTATTTAAAATCAATGAATAAAAAATATTTTGGTAGCAATGTGATTTAATGGAATGTTGGAGGAGGAGGAAATTGGATACAAATAGATGATTTAACACATTTAAAAAAATGAAAATAATTCATAATCTTTTTTTTTTTTATTTAATTAAAGATTATTGTAGAAAAGAGTACAATTTTCTAATTTAAATAATATAGAAAATTCAGATTTAATCATTTATTTTTTGTCTATCTTTTCTCTTTAATACTTTATTGATTGCTCTATCATTACCCCAATTATTGAATTTTCCACCATTCCCTTGAAAATTACTCAAATTTTTATTGCCAGATCTGTCTCTTCTATGTACATCTTCAAGTGATTTAATTTTTTTTCTTAAATTATTTTTTGTTTATTCCACGTCCTCCTATTCTAATTATTTCCTTGCCTTATCTCTAATCTCTTTTTCAAAGTGATTTTTTCTGTATTGTTTATTGGCATTAACCTCCTTAAAATCCATGTAATAATTAAAATTAAATAATTAATTGGTTAGTAAAATATTTTTCAATTTAAATGATTTAATCAAATAGATTTCCGACAGAATGGACACGTATTATTGATATTAACCCAAGACTAAAAATAGAAAATAATAAAAATACCATAATACAGGTTTCATGATAATGATGCAATTTCGAGCATTTCAGAACAACAACTTCTTCATTTAATTCATAAGGACATCTACAAATGCAACATTCTTACTCTCCTTCTATTAAATTTGGTTTATATTTGATTCCTTATAATCTAGTTCTAATCTCATTTCTTTGTTGTTCCTTTCCAAATCTATACATTTAAGTAAATTTCATTACAAATTTGCACAGTAATAACAACCGAAGATAAGTAAAAATGGTGAACCTAGTATTGCAAAGACTAATATCAAATAAAGATCAATGTATTGATAGAGAGAGATTATAAGGATTGCACATAAAAAGTAATATTAATTCATTAATTCTGCTGATTTCATACTGTAATATATACAAAATAAGTATACTCCATAACCAAAAATAAATTAATAAATTATAGTAATTATTCTGCAACACCATTTGCCAAAGATTGTCATTTTGACTATTTCTAGTTTTATTTGTCGTGATAATATATTTAATTTTCTTGATTCAATTACTTAATCTACAATTGGAGCAGCAACAATTTAATCTAATTTATATGCCAATACTCTTTTATTCATAGTTAAATATTTTAAGTGATTCTTATGTATAATGATCATTATAAATGCATGAAACATAATTGCAAGAATCCAATAATTTAAATAGGTTTATTCGTGATTCATATATAATAATGCAAATCCACATCCAATTTTCAAAGAGTTAAATGAAATAAAATAATATTAAGTGGTCCTAAAATGATTCACTGCTTCTTTATAAATAGGAGTTTCTAAATAAATTTATTATTCCTCTTGTTCATTTTGATTCACTTCTCTATAATCATTATTCATTTTATATTATATTATTAAAACGAATTTTATTAAAAATAATACAAAAATTATATATCTATTTTGTTTCATTTTTATTGTTCTTCATTCAAAATTTCAAATTTTATTTGAACCTATGAAATTCATTTTTCATTCATTGATTTAGTAATTTAATTTCTTTTTGGTAAAAATTTTAATAAAAATGAAAAGCATTATAAAAATTTTATAAAAATTTAACAATTGTATTATTTATGTTCGACAAAATATAAAAAATAAAAATTTAATGAACTCAATTATGACGTTATGATGTTGAATTTTAAAGAAAATGTAGAATATTGTTTGTTTAATAAATAAATTTTAAATCGGAATTAAGATGTCTGCAAGATTATTAACAGCAGCCTTTAGAGGAATTAACATTCAAACTTATCCTGCATCAATTTATACTTTATCTACATAGAATGAATAATAATAACTGGTGAAAGTTATAGTTCCAAAAAATCTCTTTGAGATGCCAGTCGTTCACTATGCTGATTAATCCATAGCTATACTTGATAAGAAACCAACTCCTAAATGAATTAATATATATATTATATATTATACTAACCCTTAAGAATTTCTAGTTTCCTTAAAAAGTAATCTCATCTTTCAATACTATCAAAACAAAACCAATGATCAGATTCAAGAAATAAAAATTTAAGCCAATAGGCATATATAATCACTGAGAGTTTTAAGTTGGTAATTTAAGAATCAGAAATTCAAATCAAAAAACAAATTCTATAATGCATTAAAATGTTAAGAGATGATAATCTATCTATATGCAACATACATAAATAAACATTGAATTGTATAAAAGAATGAATAAAAATACTCAAAATTCACATAATGGAGGATAAGGCAAAATTACAAAAATTATATGGAAGAAAGATGTCAGTATAATTAAAATAAAAAAGTTTTCAGTTAATGCAATTATTGATTGTGATACTATAATGAAGTATAAATAAAGAATCAAGCAATATTAAAGAATTTTTATTGTCTTATAAGTTATATTATGAATCTTTATATAAATTAGAAAATCTGTATTCTTAAGTAATTATTGCATTTAAGTTGTAGTATTTGATATGATAGTATATTTAGTTTTTATAATTATTACAAATTTTTTTAGTTATTATAGTTCATGCATGCTGTTTTAATAATTTTAAGTAATGAATTAATAGAAATTCACAATTTTCACATAAAACAGACATATTTATGTGTTGGAAGAAGTATTAGGATAAGGGTCTGGAGGATCTGTCTATAGAGCTTATAAAGTGTGCAATAATTAAAAATAATATGTGGCATTAAAGATTTAACCTTACATAGAAAATTCAGAATTATAAACTTTATAAATACTTCGCCAATAAAATTTGAATCATAATATTAACATTTTAAACTTAGATTAATACAATAATTAAGCAATAATTGTTATGGACTTGGCTGATGGGTCATTTCAAGATTTTTGGAGGAAATCAAAAATTGATGATATATAAGAAATACTTTGTTATTTCATTTAAGTAGTTATCAAATATATACTTAAAGATAGTTAAAGGAACAAATGAATTACATTAATTATCGTTAATACATCGAGATTTAAAATTGGAAAACATTGTTTATTAGGAAAGAAATAATTAAAAGCACTTAAAGTTATGTGATACTGGATTGATAAGACAATAGATTGGTAGAAAAACAGTCAGTGTAGGAACGCCATATTATATGTCACCTGAATAAATAAATTAATCAATTTATGATGAGAAAATTGATATTTGGGCTTTGGGAATGATACTTTATGAAATGTTGGCCAAATAAGTAATGGTGAAAGGTATTAAATTTATTAATTTATGAAGGAAATTCTATTGCAGAAATATTGAGAAATATTTTAGATCTAAATTAAAACAATATTAATACTCAGATTGATAGATTATACATTAATGACGAAAAATATTCGAATGAAATTAAAAACCTATTAAAAAAGATGATAATAAAAGAAAGTACAAAAAGAGTAAATGCAGAATTTGTTGTAACAGAATTGTAAAGAATTTTAAATATTAAGCCATAAGAACATAATAATAATTAAGAACATAATAATAATAATTATTATTAATATAATCTGAATCCTGAAATTAAGGAACAACTTAGGTTAGAATTTTAAAGAGATTTTGAATAAAAATATCATCAAGAATAGGAGAAATTAAATGAATAACACAAATTAGAAATTATTGAATATTATCAATAAGAATTAATGAAATAGAAAATGCAAGTTTAAAGAGAAACTGAAGAGAATCTTAAAGCATAATAATAAAAAGAACTTAATATTTTAAAATAAGAATACAATAAGAATATACTTAATTGTAATTAGTAATAAATAGAACAATTAAAATATCAATATGAAGAGGAAAAGTAGAAGATTATAAAATATATGGACTAAAAATATTAATTAATTTATTAATAAGAATTAAAAAATAAAGAACTTGATCTTCAAAAAGAGATGGATAATAAGATTCAAATTGAATTAAAAAATAAAGAATAGATGAATAAAATTTTACTTAAAGAATAATTTTAGAAATATTATTAAGAAGAGTTTGAAAAGAGATCTAGAAATTTAACATTATTTTAAAATTAATTGATGAGTGTTTAATAGAATTTAAATAAAAGTTAAATGTTAATTAATAATTAATTAAAAGATTTGAATAATTAATTTAAATTGAATTAATCATAAAAATTAAACAAATTTATTTTTGACTATGAGAAATAATTAAAAGATAAACTTAATTAAATAGAATCAATCCAATAACAACTCTCTCAATTAGTTTTAAATTCAGATTCTTAATAAAACTAATACAACAGCGTGATTGATGTAAATATTAAAAGTTTAGAATAAATTAAAAATAGTTCTTAAGAATTAATATGTCCTAATTTAATTGAAAGTTTTATCCAAAATTCTAATTAACTTCTTGAAGAAATAAGAGAAGAATAAAATTAATTAATGATTTAACATGAAAAATCACTTTTGTAAGACTAATTAGTTGAGTCTGAAAAAGAAATATCTTAATTACAAAAACTATTTTTAAAATAAAATGAATCAATAAAGGAAGTTTATACAATAATAGATAGTTTAGATTAAAAAGATATGGATTCAATAAAATAATATGAAATTTTAAATTAGTAATATAATAAATTTCATATGGAATTCTAAATTATAGTTAATTCAATAAAGTTAATTAGAGAAGAAGATTTGAAAGTGGAAATGCTTTAAAAATAAAATTTACAAATGTCTAATTTGGTAGATAATGTAAATAAATTATAATCAAATATATTATATTTTAAATCTAAAATCTTAGATTAAAAAGAAAGGGAAAAATAAATGATTTCAAATCAATTATAAAATTTCATTGAGACTATGGATGATTGGGAATAAAAAATAGATCATCTTAATTAGTCATAATAACCATACCTCTCTGAAGAATTAAAAGAACAATTTGAGTAGTTAAATAAGGAATTAGAGGTTTTATTTGAAATAAAAAATAGAATAATCTAATTACTAAATGAAATAAAATTGAATTAGAAATAGGACTATGTTAAATAATTTTCTGAAATTTAATAATAATTTTCAATTTCCATTTTTAAATTAGAATTAATTGAAAAGAATTATTAAAAAGAATAGATAAATTCATAATATAAAACAAAAGAATTAATTTATGTTTAAGAGGAACAACAAAAAATTAATTCTAATTTAAAATAACTTTTTGAATCTATTTTGAAAAGAATTAATAGTTTATAAAATCAATTTTAAAGCTTATCAATTTTATGCAGTAACTAAATTATATATTAACATCTATCTAAATAATTATCGTTAATTATAAATATATTTGATAACTATTAAAAAATAGTTCAAGATATCAACAAGAGTATTATTAATTTTTAGAAAACTAATTTTAAAACCAAAAATGAAATAAAACTAGAAGAAAGTAAAATTACTATTTAAATTAATCTTTTATCTCAAAATCTTGATCCTATTTTTAATAGTCTAATTGAAATCAAAAAATAAATAGCAGAACCAAACGATATAGAATGGGATAATGATCTTAAATATTTGATTAATTAATTTGAAGATCTTAAACTTGAATTATTTGATATTAAATTAAATGAAAAAGATGAACAAATTTATAACACATTATATGATTAAAAATAGGAAGTTTAAAATAATATTAACAATTCTTTAAATTAATGTGAAAATTAAATCAAATAAAACATTGATTTATTGATTCAATTTTATTATATCTAAGAACAATCTAATTAATAATTGAATGAAATCAAAAAGTAGTAATAAACTAGATTAAATAAAAAGAAACAAATTTATAATACTTGGATTGAAGAATAAAAATAGAGAATTTTAGAAATTCAAAATCAAGTTTAAAAATAAGAAAATTAAAAAAGGGAAGAATTTATAAATAATTTCATCAAAGAATATAAAGAAGTTAGTTTTTTTATTGAAAATTAGAATTTAAAAAATCAAATTAGTGAAATAGGGCAATCAAAAAATCAGTATAAATTAAATGAATACTATTAATTAGCATAATAATATGGAAAAAAAATAGAAGAATTAAAACGTAAGAAATAATAAAATCAATCGTATTTTTAAACTCATAACTTTTATACATAACAGAATTAAATGCTTAACTGTATTGAAGCTCTTTTTCAATTATATTGCTTAACTGGAAGAGAAAAAATCAATTTAGAATAATAGAAAACAAATACAAATGGTTAGGGTTGGGGTAAAAGACAATAAATAAAAGAAACTGAACTATAAAATAGCATAGAATCTCTTAATAAAATACAAAATTGTTTTAATATTTTAAATAATTAATAAAAAGATTTCTTTAAGATTGAAGTGTTTGTAGAATCAATCAAAAATTATCTTAACTACTAGAATGAGAAGATTGATTTAGAAAGTAATATTGATTTCGAAGGGTAACTTTAATACTTAACTAAAATAATATTTGATTTAATTTAAAAAAAATAAAATACTATCAATGAAAAGAATAAAGTGAAAATAAAATATTAAATAAAATAGGATGTTAATTTTATTTAAACTCTAAAAACTGCATTTAATTGTCATATTCCTAATTGCTAATAATTAATTCCACCTTTAGTTGGAATAAAAGAATTGCTTGTATAACAACATTATTAGACATAAAAAAATATTTATTGATGAGATTGTTTAATATAAAAAAATTTATTCTATGATAATTAATAATTTTTTATGCTCTTTAAAATTATCAGAATTAATAATCAGGAGTAGTATTGGCCTTTCTAAACGCAGGTTTGCCACATTCCAACAAAGCTATTAAATTTAGTAAAATTGGATACCATCTTTAAATGACATACATTTTGATTCATCCTTAGTTCTAATAACACACTAAATGATATTATGGATGAACTTTTACTTCCTTAAAAGCAGATAATTCTCCTGGACATTCTTTTTTTAATATAATAGTTCTTGGTGCACTTTCATCTTCTCTTGGGAAGCTTAAAAATATTCAATATTAATACAAAATGACTTTGCTTTCCATTTGTGTTGATCTCTTCTTGGCAGTTGAGAAATTGTAGGATCGTGATTCCATTAATTAAATATCTAAGATTTAAATTAATCTAAGTAACACATTTATAAAATAATTCAAGTTTTTCTACTTCTAATATTCTTCACAACTAAATTAAGTGCTACTTTACAAATTTAAGAATCTAATATATTATTAGTTAATTTCATAGATTTTCCTAAAGATTTGGCAGTGGCTGATTTTTGATGATGAATTTGTTAAGATAAAGATTAACCATTTAGCTATTTTTATATAATTGTTGTTTATTAAAAATTCTTATCTTATCTGGCTGATTAAATTTGCTAATAGAAATTAATTTTATGATCAGTGCTAATATTTATGCTTATAGGTTTATCATTAGACTTAGATTTTAAATTCAATTTACGAGGAGAATCACGATTAGATAATGGTTCTTAGATTTTTATTCTTCTAAATTAATTAATGTCTTTAATGCTGAGTTTTTTCTTTACAAATTGTCCTTTGGTATTATTCCCAGATTCAAACCTTTATGTAAGACTTCTAGGATCCTAGCCCAATGTTATACTATCGAAATGGACAGTGCAATATTGTTTGGAATTTCTGGAATGTTTTTTGGCAAGCAGAGTTTATAGATCAGACATCACTTTTATTTCTAATTATTCAACTTTTTTATTAAGATGAGGACTCTATTAGGGAGCTCTTGGAGTAACACATTTAGGTGATTTCAAGAGAGTTGCAATTCTTTATTAATTTGGTAATAGAGTTCGATTAGTAGGAGATTTAATATCTATATCTCTTGGTGTCTAAATGATAATATAAAACTATAATATATACTATATGCAATTGATCTGATTTTATTGATAAATTTTTCTTTTTAATAGCTTTTTTTGGAACTTTGTTCTTTAGCATATTGAGTATATTAGTAATACTAGATTTACGTTGTTATTTATCTGTATTATTTTGTTTTTGAAACTAAATAGTTTACTATTTTATTTGAGGTTTGTAACTTTCATATTTGAAATTTGGTATTGCTTATTACAATATTTGGTATTGTTAGAGTTACTATTTGAAATTGACAAATTAGGGTTTGGTCTCAATGAAACTTATGCCTTCAAGGATCTTGTCACATTTAGATATCGGCTAGATTGAGGAGCTGTTTTACTTCATCAGAAGAGTTTGCTTCTTATGCAGTTATTTATTGGCTAGAATAAGGCAATGGCGAGTCACCCACTATTCCCTTTGGAGGTTTATCAGGATTATTCTTGTTCTCATTTTAAATAAGTTTCGCTATTCGATAATACTCTAATCTTCTCTTTTTATCATGGTAATAATTAAGTGAAATAATGGCTGGCATCATAAACAAACGAGGAATATCATTGTGAAACTATAAGTAGAATTGATTGGTACTTTGTAATACTCACCCAACATTTGCAATTTTTCATATAAAATATTAGAGTTGAACACTTTACAAAGCAGTTCTTCTGGTGTATTGTATAGTAATATATCTTTATAAAGAATATTATTATATGTTCGATAATTGTGTAATATCTCACTTATACCTTTAGTGTAATGATAATTTTAAGATTGAGAATATTTCAAGAATAATGAATGACGCATAATTTCTTCTAATAACATATTAAAATCTACCTATGATTGGAGTACTCTCTTCACAAAAATCACATTTCATTTTGAATTAATTATAATTAAATTATATATATATGTAATCACTAAGATTTCTGAGTCATTTTCTGAATTACTTTATCATCTTTGCCATCAATGATAAAATCTTTTTTAGGATTGTATCTACACTTCTTTAAAATATTCTCAACTTCAGGTTCACTTGGTGTTCTTAAGATTGAACCATCATATCTATAAATAATTGATTTCACAGGCTCATAATAACCTTCACCAACATCTGAAATTTAATTTCAAAAACTAATACCATAAGTGCCTTCAGGAATTTCAATAAGAATATCATCCTTAGTCATTTGAGTAATCCCTGCTGGTTTTATACTCTATTTTATTTCCTAATGAAATCTTCTATCATCTCCTATGCAATATTTCCAATCCATAGGTTCATATTTCAAATGATCTTCAAAAAAATAAGTACCATCAAGCATTTTCCCTCTCTCCCATTTAGCTTTATATTGTCCCTACTTAAATAAGATAAATACCCCATTTGGAAATATCAGAGTTCCATCTCCATGAAATTCTCCCTTAAAAAAATCACCTTCATAGATGACCCCATTACTAAAATAATATTTGCCTTTTCCATGAAACCAACCTTCTAATTACTCTCCCTCATATTTGCTTTCTGCCCACTTCGACATAATAAATTAATAAAATAAGTTATATGTTATTTATATAATTTCAGTTTTTTTCTAAATAATTGAATTCAAATTATAAATACAAACTTGATTGTATTAAATTAAATTGCATTTTCTCATCTAATTTTGATATCAAATTATTCAAGACTACCAAGATTAAGTTTGTTCTAAAAATTTTATTTTTGGTTAAGAATTTAAATAAAAATATTATACCCAAATAATTTATGTTTCCAAGTAAATTGTATGATTTACAATTGACACCCTCTTTGAATAAACTAAATTGTGATTTAGAGAGTGCCAAATTGATGGAATCATTCAGAAAACTTCTATTTGAAGATGATAAAGAAATTTTGACTTAAGCCTTGGTAATTTTAATATTTATGATCCTAGGACTTAATGAAAGCTATATCATATGCTCTTTATGGTACTATAGTGTATTGGAAATTTTTAAGCGACAAATGTAGAGAGGATGACCTAAATACTATAAGTTAGTAATTTCAGAGGAAAATTGTGATTTATGATATATGTGAGGACAGAGATCTTAGGTGTCAAATAATTAATTATGGTTATAAAAAACGTATTTATCTAGCACGATATCTCAATTATTTTTATGTTGTTGGCAAAAAGGGTAGTGAAGAAAAGCATAAATTAATCAAAGACATTCTTATTGATGTAATTAATGACATTATAGGTTTACCTATAAGAAGACACAAACGGTCATATTCAGATCCTTTCAAATACTTATCTGATTAAAAAGACAATAGAATTAATAAGCTTAATGTTAAGAATGTACCACTTTCTCCATCCAATATATCACGAACAAGTTTATAAATGCAACTATTAGATGAAATTAATTAAGATGGAGATTTGCTTATGAAAGAATGCAATTCACTACTTAATTCCACAACACCATAAAATGATCTTTTGCAATCTTTGAATCTAAATTTATAAGAAGGCACCAATATTCTCTCAAATGTAAGTCTATGAGATGCAAATATTAGATTAGATATTTTGGTACTCTTAAGTTTTATGACGAAGCCAGATCATATGGATTTATTATAATGGATTTAGATGGTAGTGATTTATTTGTTCATTGTGATGATCTAACTAAAGCAGGAATGAGTAAAGATTACTTAAGAACTGCAAAACATGGTAATATTATTAGATTCTCATTTTTAATACTTGAATATTTTGGTAAGTATAATAAAAGCAGAAAAGCGGTTGATTTGCAGTTTATTCAAAGTTAACCTTATTTCATGTGATATAATATATATATATCTACTAACATATCTTGTATTTTTTGATTATATTCAGAATAATTTTATAATAATACCGAATAGAATAAAGCAATCAAAAATCATATTATTTATATAAAGAAAATGACTATAATTATTTAACTTATCATTTTTTTATAGATGCAGATATCTTTTGATATGATATTTTAGCGAGAGTGATTTATCTAGTTTCATTCGAAAACATTTTAAGGATAATCGTCAGCCATTATTTATTTATATAATGATATCTGAATACAAAAAAGGATAACCTAAAAATCCAAATTTCATAAATGATTTAGTTAATGATGATGTTTTGGATTCAAGTCTTGACAATCTAGGGATATGTCCTGATGATTAGATTAGTTATAACTTTGATGAGATCGAGGATTAAGAAATTAACATAATTAATGATCAAAATTTAAAGAATGAATGTCCATTAAAACTTAACAACTAGAAGTATCAAAATCAGAATAAAATAAATGATATGGAATCAAATTGGTCAACTTATTAAGGCATTTATGATGAATAAGAAGAAAAACAGCAAAATTCAGAAACTGAATAATTTTGGACAATAAAAAAAACTAAATAGGATAATTATAGAGTATTTCAAAAGAAATCGAAAAAAAAAACAAAATACTTCGATTGAATACAAGATTTGATATTTTTAATTTATATGAATTACTAATTATAATAATTATTTTTTAAAATTATCATTAGATATTTATCATTAAACTCAATTCATCAGTATACTTATACATGATTCCATGAAAAAGATTCTAAATATATCTAGTTTTGATTACAATATCAAATAAGAATTTTTTTAGCAATAAATTATTTAATATATTATTATGAATTATATTGATTAAGGTTCAGCACTGTCTAGAAAAGTCCCAAATAGAAAATTATCAAAAAAGAATTCTTTATTTTATTAAGTATGAATATAGAATTTTACAAAATTAGTAATCAGTATTTGAGAATGAAGAGTTTCTATAAAAGTATGAGAAGAATGTTGATCAATTGTAGACAGTAATAGAAGAGCCTGAATTGAAAGAAGTAATATAGTGTAGAAATGAGAAATTCTTTTAACTTTTAGAATAAATCATAAAGGTTGAATCATCAATAAAGGACTTTGCAAAAGGGTAAAGGAATAGGTTTACATAGATATCAAAAGTTTGGATTTATAGTGTCAGATAATGGAATTACATATAGAGAATGGGCTCCAAATGCTTAAGAGTTAAAATTAAATGAGTTCAGTTGTACAACTGATAATGGTGGTAATTGGGAAGTATTTATACCAAAAGATGACGATGACAATCATTAAATAGTGCATGGAAGCACATTAACAACATATTGCAATGATTTATAGAGAGTATCAGTTTGGAGTTAGGTTAAAAATGGAGAATAAGCAATATTTTGGAATCCTGAAAATAAATATGAATTCTAATAATAATAATTACAATAAAAATAATTAAGTAAAGGATTGAAAATAAATAAATAAAGTATTAATTAACTATAAAATATACCTGGATATAATGCAATATTAATAACTTAATAAGTTTTGATGGCTTTAGATATAAATTAAATAAATCCTGATGATTTAAAAAAGACTATTGATAATCTTCATAAATAAGGACTATTAATTTTGATGGATATAGATCATTAAATTATTGGATAATATTTAAAAAGTTGGGATGGAAGTGAATTTTAATATGTTCGTTAAGGAACAGATTAATTAGATTATGGAAAATGGGAAGTATTGAGATTATTACTCTCAAATCTTTCTTTTTGGATCACAGAATATTAGATAGATGGATTCAAGTTTTCAAATATAGATCTTACTGATGATATTGATATTGCAGTCTATTTAATGTTGGCAAATGATTTAATACATGATTTATTGCCAAATGGAATTAATATCATAAATAGTTTTGAATATCCTGCCTTATGTAGAACTATTAAGGAAGGTGGATTAGGTTTTGATTTCAAACTTTCCTAAACTCAAACAAAGTAATATTTACCAAAAACACTTTTCGAAATCACTGAGGATTTAATACAAGTACAATAATTAAATGCTTTATTATTTGGATAAGTAAATAATAATAAAAATATATCTAGGGAGTGATTTCAGATGGTAAAGATAATAATTTGATGTTGATAGAATCCTAGATTGGATGGTTAGAAACTGAATTTGCAGAAATTAATGTAATTGATTTTGTCATAGAAGTTAAGAGATCTAAATATATATTTTTGTTAAATCTTACTAATTAAGTAAGAAATTAATTTTAATTTTATAGAATAGAACAATTAAATTGAATTACACAATTAATAAAGTCTTAAATCATGAAGGATACAATTGGAAATAAATTGATGATAATATTACAGAAATATAGATTCAATCATAATATGGATTGATCATTGAATGATAACTTAAGGCTATCTGAATTAACAGAATTTGTAAAAAAACATCAATTATTTATATTATATTATTAAATCTTTGTTTAATATAATTACTAATTAAATAATCTTCTTATTCTTTAAATAAAATACATATATATCTTGATTCAATATTGCAATGCTTCTTAAACATAAAATTTGACATCTCTATCTGGATCATCTAACATCTCATTTATAGATCTATTCTAAATTAATTATTACTATTTAATTTAAATCAACACATCTTAATTTTCAATCTTCTTCAGTAATGATTTAGCAACCTTTAAACTTACAAATCTTATATTTGGGATTGGGTCTTTTAAGTATTTCTATACTATTGGCCATAATCTTTGTTCAACCTAATAGTTTTCAACAGCAAATGAAATTTGTTGAATTGCATAAAGTGCATTTATCCGAAAGAAACATCCATTATCTTTTTCTAAAATTTCCACACATTTTTAAAGGAAATTACTCAAAGCCCATTCCTATTTATATACTGAAATCAATTCAGACAATTAACTTAAACCAGTCGATCTTACTTCAGCTGCTCGATCTCTCAAAAACAATAGAAATGCTTCTTCCAATTATTATGTAAAAGTATCCAATTGTTTAACTTATCTATATACAATTTAAATGAGTTTTATACAATGCTAATTAAATAATAGTTTAGATTGTTTCCTTTCTAACTCTCCATTTAGGATCATACATAGATTTTTTAAGATATGGTATAAATTAATTTAGCTATTCAAATCCAATTGCCATAACAAAAATTCCAACAGATTTAATTGCATTTCTTCTAACTTCAGTATTTTCATCACTCATTAAATCAAATAAACATTTTTGCAATTTATTTTAACAATATTCTTTTGGTAATAAATTAGCTATCAATCCTATTACTTCACAAACATTTTCTATATTAACATATTTATATTATTACATTTAACTTATGAGAATGAATCTTCAGATAAAATTTGTAAATTTGGAACTATTAAATTTAATTTCTCTGGTGATATAAATTTAATAAATTTTAATAAACTTTTCACTCCCATTACTCTAACATCACTTTAAGTATCTTTTAATAAATTTAAACATATAGGTAGTAATTAATTATCAGCAATGTCCTTCCCTACTGCAATTGCTAACTAAAATAATATATTATAATCTACATCTGCAAAAATTTATGCTAAAGCCATTCTAACTTTCCATGACTTATCTTCAGCTTATAGAATAATCAAAGGTAGTATAAAAGCTTTGATTTCATTATAATTTAAAATTTATGTAATTCTCATTAAACTTTCAGAGCATAATAATCTTACTGAATCTTATTCATCATGACAAAGCTCTTTAACAGCTTAAAGAAGTTCTCCAATAACATGAGATTTTTCCATATATTATGCTATTTCTCCTATTTTACTGGCAACCGCTCTTCTAACCATTAATGCCTCTTCTTTACATAATTCAAAGAATTGTCTAGTTATTTCAAAACTAGGCTTACAATCTCATAATATCTTTTTATGTTCCTGCTCTTGCATATATAGGAGACATTAAATTAATAGCAGATATTCTACAAGTAAAATAAGTATCATTTTATGCTAATCTTAACCACTATGAATTTTATAAAAGAAATTATTTATACCATAGGTACAATTACATTTACAATCTCAAGATCACTCAAAAATTGACAAATAATAGATATAGATTTAACTGCTTGTTCTCTAACTAGTGTTTCATCAAAGGTTGTTAATTTTTCCAATAAATTGAGCAAACAAGAAGACTAATTAGGAATTATTTCCCTAGTTTTTAATTTTCAATTCTACGCTATATTTCCTAGTTCTTCAGCCATGGCGAATAAGACTTCATCTTCATCTTTGTTCAATAAAGCTTAAGTTTATTTATAATTAGTTACAATCTAAATAAGGTATCAATTAAGATTTAATTTGATCTATTCCAATTAATGTACAAATAATCCTAACTCTATGTATGGCATTCACTCTTAGATATACTTCTTCATTTTCCATATCTTCTTTAAATACTTCAAAAGGATTTTCACTCATATTTTAATTAGAATATTTATATAACCAAGAAATATTTTTCTCGAATTAACAAAGATTTTATTTGCTTAAATATAACAACTAGTATTATAAAATTCAAATAGATAAGTATTTTAAAATGGTTTATCAATATACAAATAATAATACGCATTATTTAAATAATTAATATTATCAAAAGAAAATTAGAAATTCTTTGAATAATTATTATAAAAATATATATATATAATCTAATCTAAAATTAGGTTTTTAAATAAATTATTATAAAATAAGACTTATGTATTGTGATTCAATTTCTGATGGTTTGGTTGCTTTGGGTGTTTTTGATGGATCCCTAGGAATAGTGTCTTTAGTTTTAACAATAATGTTGGAAGGAACACAAGAAAAAATATACACTATCATGTGTACAATTACTGAATTCTGGTGGATTTGGTTGATTGTTAGCATAATATACAAGAAACTTTCAGTTGGTATCAATTTAATTCATTTAGGTGTTGTTTGTTCTGTTAAAGAAGTATTAATGTTACCAGATTATTAATTCTCGAGATATGTTGCAGCAATCCTATCACTTTTACAATTTACAATGACAATATGTTTACTTAATAGTGATGATATTAAAAGATTCACTGGAGAAAGTAAATTATTATTATAAATTATTTAGTGTTAGCATTGGCTATGCTAGTTCCAGTTTTCTGTTTTTTTAAAGGAATAGCATTGATTTTTGTTCTTATTTAATAAATTTTCTTAATATTTACAGGAAAAGAAAAAAATCATTATTTTACATTAATCCAAGATTAACAATCAAAAAAATAAGTGATTTTTTTAGGAATAGTATTTTTAATTATGACATCACTTTATTACTTTTTAAAATCATTGTTTGTGTTTACAATCTATAATAATTTTGATGATTTAAATACTAAAATATTCACTATAATGATAATTATATAATCTCTTTTTTTAATCATTTTCAGTTCATTTATGACTTGTTAATTGATTACTATTTTAAAACAAATACCTGTAAATGAAGATCCACATTTAATAAACCCTAATTAAAAATGCTATTAAAATTGGTTCATTTTGATTAAATCAATATATTTTAGTGATAAAATGAAATGGTTGAGAAGGATTACTTATTTTTTTTGGTGCATATAATGTATATATGGATTGATATAATTTCCATTTTTCAAAATAATACAAATTACTTAATAATAATTATATACTTAAACCTCCTTTATGTATTTTGATACTTTTTTACTATAAGGTCTAATAGTAACTTAAATCATTTTATAGATGGCTAAGAAGTTTCATCAGATATAGGATGATGAAGATCCATTTTTATTTAATATCAAAGTATAAAAAATTTTAGAATAATTAGTTTTCTAATGAAGATTCATCTAAAGTTGAAAAGAAATAAAAAATTATTGATAAATCTTAATTACAATGTGGAATTTGTCTTGAAGATTTGAAAGTAGGATAAATTAGACAAAAATTAACTTGTCATGAAACTCATATTTTTCATCTTCTTTGTATTTAAAAATGGACTCAAACCTAAAATATTTGCCCTATATGCAGAACTCCCTGTGATTGAAAGTTTCGAAATGATTTATTTAAAAATAGGTTTTATATTGTAAATGCTCTTGTATTATTTAAAATTAATCTTCATAGTTTATAATAATAGCGAAAATTATAAAAATTTTACATATATATTTAATAAAAATGCAGAATCAAAATTATTAAGTCCTTAAACTTGTTGGAGATAATTATGAAATTCTTGTAAAAGTGTTGGGTTAAGGCCAATATGCTATGACTTATTTGGCTAGAAATAAATTGACTTAAAAATATCTCGCTTGCAAAGTTTGAAGTTTCTTAAAAATTAGGTTATTTCTAAAGAATCTATTGTTTCTCAACTTAATTAAATTGAAAGCAAATAAATTGCAGAATATAGATTTCAAAGAATTACACAGAGATTATCAAGTGAACTGCTAAATTCATAAACTCTTGGTAACATAATTTTTTATATCATTTAGTACATCCTTATATTGTTAAATTCGAAGATTCAGCTGAAAGTAAAAAAAATATTTACATTTTTATGGAATTATGTACTGGAGGAACCTTAGAAAAATTAATTCGGAATAAAAAAAGATTAAGTTTACCAGATGCCTTACCTTTCTTTAAATAATTGGCTAAAGATAATATTTATTTTTTAATTATTAGGTTGTGGATATCTTTATGAAAAAAATATTATCCATAGAGACTTAAAACCTTCTAATGTTTTGCTTCAAGATAATTAAATTAAAATTGCTGATTTTGGTTTATCTAAAGCACTGGAAGAATAAATTAAAGAAATGGCAAATGATAATACTCCTTAAATTGGGACTCCTTTGTATATGAGTCCTCAGGTAGTTTCTCAAATTATATTCAGGTTATAGGTTAACAAAATTATTCTATAAAATCTGATGTTTGGTCACTTGGATGCATATTTTATGAAATGCTTTATGGAAAGACTCCTTGGTATCACGATGATATTTCAATATTATAATAAATGATCTAAAATGAAAATGTTTAGTTTCCAAATGATGTAGAAGTATCAGAAAAAATAAAAATATTAATTACAAAAATGCTTTCCAAAACAGAAAAAGATAGGCTCAATATAAATTAAGTAATCGCATAACTAGAAGAAATTTGAAGGAATCAAAAATTTTCAATTAAACTATTTATTATCTATCATTCTATTTAATATAAATTAAGCAATATATTTACTTAATGATAATAAAATAATTCTATGATTAATCCTTTTCTTTTGTTAAGACTCTGGATATATTATTAAAAATAATATATCTCTGTAAATATTTTTAGAATATATAATAATTAAAGATTATCAACTTAACATTGCATAATATTAAATATTAGATTATTATTCAGATTTCATTTTAATAAGTTATTTATTCTAATTTCTCTCTTAATATTGCTTACAAATCAATATTATATTTCTATTCTGATTATATTTATCTTTCATCTCTAAAATGAAAAAAATGGATTAAATATGAAATTGTTACAAAATTTAATATCTTAAATTAGAATATATATAAAAGTAGTATTACTGATCTGAAAAATGAATTTCTATTTCTATTTTTGTGGAATAAACTTTACATTCTTTAAATTATTAAGTAATCTTATTAATTTAGTATTATAGATTTTGCTTAGAAGATTTTATATCATGATTAAGAAAATGTTGTCCCTTTAATTTTTATTGTAAAAGTTGTATTTATTATTTAACTAACTATTTAGTACTTAATATCAATGATTTTAAGACATATTTCTGATATAAATTTACATGATCCATACATATTTGCTGATAAATATTATAGTGCAAGAGTTTTAATAAAAATTTATTCTGATTAAAATCTTGCTTTCTTTCAATAGATTTTAAAACATTCAAAATGTAAATGTATAAACAAAAACATTATAGATTATTGGGCTATAGAAACTTTATATAAAAATTATACAACCCACACATGATCTCAATATATGTCTTTAAAGTAGTTCATTTTAATACTATTTTATCATCAGATTTCCTTTTCTTCATTCCAACTAAAAATCCTTCTAATTATCTTAAATAATAAACAAAAAAATTAATAATTCTAGGATGATTATTTCTATTAGGATTAGTTTAAAAAATATCAAAGGATATCAAACAAATAAGGGATATACTATAAAACAGATTTGATTTGTTATTTTTATGGAGATATGATTAGAATAAAAAAAACTTTAAAATCAATTAATAGTAATTATAACTAACAATTTTATTGTTAAAATGTAATTCAAACCAGCACCCTCTAATCTCAATTAAATAAGAGCATAAAAGGTAAAATTTGATGATAAAGAACTAACATTTTTAAAGAAAGAGAAAAAATTAGAATAACGAATAACTGAATTGATGTAGGAATTACAATAGATTCCAAAATTATAAGAATAAATAAAAAATTTGAATGAATAAATTGAAAAATAGGAGAGCACTATCTAAAGATTCAGATTAGTATAAAGCAATGAAAGAACATTAAATGAAAGAATTCAGAATAAGGAAATTACAATATAAAACTAAGAACATGAAATTGAATAATTGAATAAAAAAATTGATTAACTATAGAAAGATGTTTGTTATGAAAAACAAAATAAATAAATAACATATCAAATTAAATAACCAGTTAAATCTTTAACTGTATAATAAGAATAAGAAAAACCTATTAGAGTTTAAGAACTTGAAAAATAATTACTTTATAAAACATCTGCTGTTCTAAAAGTATAAGAGAAAAAAAGATAAATGAAAAAACAATACAAAAATAGAATTGAATAATTAGAATAAGAATTAAAAGATTATAAATATGGCTATGAAACATATTATGAATAAAATGAATAACTTACTGAATAATTAAGAGATACTTCAGCATTATGTATAATTTATTAATTATTATTAAGGTGGTTAATTGACAAGTGAAAATTAATCATTAAAAGATTAATTAGAATTATTTAAATGTGTTCCATCTGAAGAGAGAGACAAAAATTAAGACACAAAATACATAATTGAAATCTAAAATTTAAGAAATCGAAATTTACAATAACAACAATAGATATCATAATTATAATATGATATTAGTGAGTTGAAAACTTAAAATGGAATTCTTATTGAAAAACTTAAGACTATAGATTCTGTAAAATAAAAAAATGATAAATTGTAAGGAGAACTTATGCTATTAGAAACAGAAAATGAAAGACTTAAGAGAAAGAATCTAAGTGATTTAGATCATATTGAATAATAAATAGTCTAAATTAGTTTAAAGGAATAATAAATAAAAGATAAAAATTATGAATTAGAATTGAAATAGATAAATTTACATTAAATGATTAAATATACAAATGGTATGAAAGAAGAAAATGAATAATTAAATTCTGAAATAGTTATTTTAAAATCATAAATTATAGATTTAAGAAGATAATTTGAATTTGTAGAAGAAAAACATGAAGAAGAAATGAGAATTTTAGAAGAAAAATTAAAATTATAATAAACTTAAACAAATTTTAGAATAATTAATTAAATCCCAGTTTAAATTAATTCACCATATTAGATACCTTAAATCGAGCGTCATTATTTATGAAATACATATTAATTTAAATTTATGTTATAAAAACTCATAAGATATTATAAATCCTATTATCATGGTGTTTCGAGTGTTCCATTAACTTATAAGACAATTGGATAATAACTTTAAGATATTACTGAGAAATATCCAGACAACATAGCAGTACATAATAATTTTATCATAGATCATTTCTTAATTATAAGGAATAGACATGAAATATTCTGAATTATATACAAGAAGTAAAGAACTTGCAGCAGCCTTCATTGCATTAGGATTAGAAAAAGGAGATAGAATTGGAATATGGTCACCTAATAATATAGAATGGGCATTAACCTAATTTGCTGCTGCTATGGCTGATCTAATTTTAGTTAATATTAATCCTGCATACCAAAGTTTAGAATTAGAATATACACTTAATAAAGTAGGTTGTAAAGCATTAATAATGAAATCATCATTCAAGCATTCAAACTATGTTGCAATGATAAGGGAATTGGCACCTGAATTAGATACTCCTGGACAATTATAATCAAAGAGACTACCCTATTTAAAATGTATCTAAAATTATTATAAAAATTAGCTGCTATAATTATTGATAATATTCATAAACATGGATTTTACAATTTTAAAGATATTTTTTCTATAAGCAATGCCGATCATCTTCATGAAGTAGACAATCGAATGGAGAAATAAGATCCAGATGATATTACAAATATTTAATTTACATCTGGTACAACAGGTTTACCAAAGGGAGCATCTTTAAGCCACATTAACATATTAAATAATGGTAAATATGTTGGAGGAAGAATAAATTATACTGAGAAAGATATTGTAGCTATAGCAGTCCCTTTATATCATTGTTTTGGAATGGTTCTTGGAAATTTAGCCTGTATAAATTATGGTTCAACAATGGTATATCCTAGTGATGGATTTAGTGCTGCAGCTACTTTAGAAGCTGTTACAAATTATAAATGTACATCAATTTATGGAGTTCCAACTATGGTATTTTAAAACATTTATTATTTTTAGTTTATTGAATACTTAAATGAATATGAGAAACATAATCTTAAATATGATGTATCAAGTTTAAGAACTGGATTAATAGCAGGATCTTTGGCATCTGAGGCACTCATGAAATAAATTATTAATGTTTTAGGAGTTAAAGATATTTCAAATTGTTATGGATAAACAGAATGTAGTCCTATAACATGTTAGAATAAGCCATCTGATTCATTTGAAATTAAAACTACTAAAGTAGGATGTCCATTAAATGCAGAAGTGAAAATAATTGATTAAAATGGAAATGTAGTACCTTATGATACACCAGGAGAGTATTGTGCTAGAGGTTATAGTGTTATGAAGAAATATTGGGATGATGAAAAAGCTACAAGAGAAACAATAGATAAAAATGGATTTTTACATAGTGGAGATATTGCTACAATGGATAAAGATGGATATATAGCTATTGTAGGTAGAAGCAAAGATATGATAATAAGAGGTGGAGAAAATATATATCCAAAAGAAATAGAAGAATATTTATCTCATATGAATGGTGTAGAATAAGTTTAAGTTATTGGATGTAATGATGAAAAATATGGTGAAGAAGTTTTTGCATTAATAAAAATGAAGAAAGATGCTGAAGAAATAACTGGATTAGATGTTTATTAATATTGTCATAAGAAAATAGCTTATTACAAAATTCCAAAATTTGTTAAATTTGTAAATGAATTTCCTTAAACAATAACAGGTAAGCCATAAAAATTTAAAATGAGATAAGATATAAATAAGGAATTAGAAGACCCTAAATGTGTAGAACTATATTAAATTAGATGAATTATTTTAGTATTTATGTCAAAATAGTAATTTACAATTAATAATTATTATTCTCATTTTTTTCAATCATCATCCCAATCACTATTTTTTTTAGGTTTAAATTCTACTTATCTATCATAAACAAATCCTGCATCTCCTGGTTTAAGAAGATTTTTAACATATTTTACTTCCATCTTCTCTTTAAATTTTTATACTTCTTCTACACTTAATTTATTTAAATTCAAATTTTCTAAGTCTGATTCTGGTTGAGATTCAAAATCATCTTAGTAATTTTCAGACTCTTCTTCTTATTAATTTTTATCATCGTCATCTGAATTAATATTAATATCTTCGAAGACATGTGCTTTTATAGGTTCGAATTAATTTTCTCTAATTTTGCTGGTAGAACTGCTTTAATTAGGCTATTACTATTATGTTTTGGTAAATGGATTGATGTTTGGTGTTTTAGAATTTGCATATTTTCTTCCAATTTCAGATTATTGCTTACTATCAGTTGTCTTTCTATGAGATTAATCCGTTATTTTATCCTTAAGCCTTGTTATTAGCGCTATTTTGTTTAGATATATTTTACTTTCAAGTTGCTCATCTAAAAGTTTTGAATTAGAAACATATGAGTTATGCCTTTTTTTAATATATTGAACAAAATCAGCTGTGTTAGATTTGTTAGTTAGACGCATCAACTTTATTTTATGACGATAAATTTTCTATTAGCTTGGAATCAAATATTCAATTACTATAGTAGGAGGATTTTATTGTAATCCAACCCTTTACGGGATGTAATCTTTAGTGTTAAATACTTACATAATATTATAATGTATATATGTTACAATTTAACAAGTATAAAATACATTTATTTTGCATTTTAATGAAAAATGTTATTTTTTGAAACAATTAGAATACATTTTACAATCATGAAGATAAGCTTATATAATTAAAACATTTCATTTATGAATTTTCAAAGTGATACATCAAACAATCTCCTTTTGAATGATCATTTCTAAAAATTTCTAAACAATTAAAAACGAATATTTTATATATTATCAAGTCATCAATAAAGTGATGGCAAAGAACTCAGTTACAATATTTTTATGCTTATTAATTTTGACGAGCCATTGCAGCCTAAAAGATTTGGTTGATAATCCTCAACAATATAAGGATAGAAGAAAAAAGTTGTGATAATTGTATTATTTTAGCAATTTGAGATCAAATACCAATAAGGAGAATTTTTTGCAGTTTGATTAATATTAAAGAAGCTTTCTAATTTCTGAGAACGTCCTTAATGTGAATGAAAATTAGGTATAAATCACAAAAGAAAAATTATTTGCTAACTAAGAAGCTATTAAAAAATAAGGAAACACTAGAGAAAATAACGAAGATAGATAATATTAGGTTGATAATGAAATCGACAATTAGGTGGAATAAACATAGTCATTAAATAATAATAGTAAAATTGATAAATCAAAATAATAATAATAATACTTAAAGTAGGAAAATCAAGCTTAAGAATAAGAAAACATTTAAGACTAAACTTTACATATTAGATAACACGATAGCGAACATGATATTAAAAGAATAAATAATAACTATGTGATGTAAGATTAGTAAGATGGGGAATAAGATAATAATCAGGAAGAGTAAAACCCAGCAGAAGAAACAAAAGAAGAGCCACCTGCTGAAGAGAACAAAGAAGAACCACCTGGTGAAGAAACTAAAGAAGAGCCACCAGCAGAAGAAACTAAAGAAGATCCACCAGCTGAAGAAAATAAAGAAGAGCCACCTGCAGAAGAAACTAAAGAAGAGCTACCAGCAGAAGAAACTAAAGAAGATCCACCAGCTGAAGAAAATAAAGAAGAGCCACCTGCAGAAGAAACTAAAGAAGAGATACCAGCAGAAGAAACTAAAGAAGATCCACCAGCTGAAGAAAATAAAGAAGAGCCACCTGCAGAAGAAACTAAAGAAGAGCTACCAGCAGAAGAAACTAAAGAAGATCCACCAGCTGAAGAAAATAAAGAAGAGCCACCTGCAGAAGAAACTAAAGAAGAGCTACCAGCAGAAGAAACTAAAGAAGATCCACCAGCTGAAGAAAATAAAGAAGAGCCACCTGCAGAAGAAACTAAAGAAGAGCTACCAGCAGAAGAAACTAAAGAAGATCCACCAGCTGAAGAAAATAAAGAAGAGCCACCTGCAGAAGAAACTAAAGAAGAGCTACCAGCAGAAGAAACTAAAGAAGATCCACCAGCTGAAGAAAATAAAGAAGAGCCACCTGCAGAAGAAACTAAAGAAGAGCTACCAGCAGAAGAAACTAAAGAAGATCCACCAGCTGAAGAAAATAAAGAAGAGCCACCTGCAGAAGAAACTAAAGAAGAGCTACCAGCAGAAGAAACTAAAGAAGATCCACCAGCTGAAGAAAATAAAGAAGAGCCACCTGCAGAAGAAACTAAAGAAGAGCTACCAGCAGAAGAAACTAAAGAAGATCCACCAGCTGAAGAAAATAAAGAAGAGCCACCTGCAGAAGAAACTAAAGAAGAGATACCAGCAGAAGAAACTAAAGAAGATCCACCAGCTGAAGAAACAAAAGAAGAGCCACCTGCAGAAGAGAGTAAAGAGGAACCACCCGCTGAAGAAACTAAAGAAGAGCCCCCTGCTGAGGAAACTAAAGAGGAACCACCCGCTGAAGAAACAAAAGAAGAACCACCAGCTGAAGAAAATAAAGAAGAGCCACCAGCAGAAGAAACTAAAGAAGAGCTACCAGCAGAAGAAACTAAAGAAGATCCACCAGCTGAAGAAAATAAAGAAGAGCCACCTGCAGAAGAAACTAAAGAAGAGATACCAGCAGAAGAAACTAAAGAAGATCCACCAGCTGAAGAAACAAAAGAAGAGCCACCTGCTGAAGAGAGTAAAGAGGAACCACCCGCTGAAGAAACTAAAGAAGAGCCACCTGCTGAAGAAACAAAAGAAGAACCACCTGCTGAAGAAAATAAAGAAGAGCCACCTGCTGAAGAAACAAAAGAAGAGCCACCTGCTGAAGAGAACAAAGAAGAACCACCTGCAGAAGAAACTAAAGAAGAGCCCCCTGCTGAGGAAACTAAAGAAGAGATACCAGCAGAAGAAACTAAAGAAGAACCACCTGCTGAAGAAACAAAAGAAGAACCACCTGCTGAAGAAAATAAAGAAGAGCCCCCTGCGGAAGAAACAAAGGAGGAACCTCCTGCTGAAGAAGAACCAAAACCTGAAGAAGAAACAAAACCAGAAGAGGAAGTAAAACCAGAGGAAGAGCCTAAACCAGAAGAGGAGGCTAAACCAGAAGAGGAAGCTAAACCTGAGGAAGAGGCTAAACCTGAAGAAGAAGCTAAACCTGAGGAAGAGGCTAAACCTGAAGAAGAAGCTAAACCTGAAGAGGAAACAAAGCCTGAAGAAGAAACAAAACCTGAAGAAGAAACAAAACCTGAAGAAGAAGCTAAACCTGAGGAAGAGGCTAAACCCGAAGAGGAAACAAAACCTGAAGAAGAAGCTAAACCTGAGGAAGAGGCTAAACCTGAAGAAGAAGCTAAACCAGAAGAAGAAGCTAAACCAGAAGAAGAAGCTAAACCAGAAGAAGAAGCTAAACCTGAAGAGGAAACAAAGCCTGAAGAAGAAACAAAACCTGAAGAAGAAGCTAAACCTGAGGAAGAGTCTAAACCCGAAGAGGAAACAAAACCTGAAGAAGAAGCTAAACCTGAGGAAGAGGCTAAACCTGAAGAAGAAGCTAAACCAGAAGAAGAAGCTAAACCAGAAGAAGAAGCTAAACCAGAAGAAGAAGCTAAACCTGAAGAGGAAACAAAGCCTGAAGAAGAAACAAAACCTGAAGAAGAAGCTAAACCTGAGGAAGAGTCTAAACCCGAAGAGGAAACAAAACCTGAAGAAGAAGCTAAACCTGAGGAAGAGGCTAAACCTGAAGAAGAAGCTAAACCAGAAGAAGAAGCTAAACCAGAAGAAGAAGCTAAACCAGAAGAAGAAGCTAAACCTGAAGAGGAAACAAAGCCTGAAGAAGAAACAAAACCTGAAGAAGAAGCTAAACCTGAGGAAGAGTCTAAACCCGAAGAGGAAACAAAACCTGAAGAAGAAGCTAAACCTGAGGAAGAGGCTAAACCTGAAGAAGAAGCTAAACCAGAAGAAGAAGCTAAACCAGAAGAAGAAGCTAAACCAGAAGAAGAAGCTAAACCTGAAGAGGAAACAAAGCCTGAAGAAGAAACAAAACCTGAAGAAGAAGCTAAACCTGAGGAAGAGTCTAAACCCGAAGAGGAAACAAAACCTGAAGAAGAAGCTAAACCTGAGGAAGAGGCTAAACCTGAGGAAGAAACAAAACCTGAAGAAGAGGAAGCAAAACCTGAAGAGGAGGCTAAACCAGAAGAGGAAACAAAACCAGAAGAGGAAGCAAAGCCTGAAGAAGAAACAAAACCTGAGGAAGAGGCAAAACCTGAAGAAGAAACAAAACCTGAAGAGGAGGAAACAAAACCTGAAGAAGAAGAAACAAAACCCGAGGAAGAGGCAAAACCTGAAGAAGAGGAAACAAAACCTGAAGAAGAAGCAAAACCAGAAGAGGAAGAGAAACCAGAAGAGGAAGCAAAACCTGAAGAAGAGGAAGCAAAGCCTGAAGAAGAAACAAAACCAGAGGAGGAAGCAAAGCCTGAAGAAGAAACAAAACCAGAGGAGGAAGAAAAGCCTGAAGAAGAAACAAAACCAGAGGAGGAAGAAAAGCCCGAAGAAGAAACAAAACCAGAGGAGGAAGCAAAGCCTGAAGAAGAAACAAAACCAGATGAGGAAGAGAAACCAGAAGAGGAATCTAAACCTGAAGAAGAAAAAAAAGATGAAGAGGAGAACTAAGAAGATTAATAAAGTGAACCTGCTTCTGAGCCAGAATAGGAAAGTGAGCCAGAATAGGAAAGTGAGCCAGCTACAGAAGCTGAAGTTGAAAGTGAGCCAGCTTCGGATGATGAAGAAGACAAAGATTCAGACAATGAATAGAAAGCAGATGAAGAAAAAGATGAAGATAAAGATGATGCTGCTGATAAATCTGATGAAGATTAGAAACCTACTGATGATGAAAAAGAAAAAGACGATGATGATGATGATGATTTTGCTTAATTGGCCCTACCTCCAGAAGTTGAATAAGCAAAACAAGTGGAAAATGCATCAGAAGGAGAAAAAGACGCATCATTATATGGATATTAATTAGGAATGTGGATGGTAACCATATTCTATTTGGCTTTATGATTTATAAGCTCAAAAGAAATTAAATATAATCACTTAGTAATAAATAATAATAATATATTTTTATATTCTTATCTATGAGCAAAAAGCCTAACAAACTAGCAGATAACAAGCTATAATTATCAAGTAGACTATGATCATTTTGAATATTTAGAGTAAGAATAAGAAGCATAAAATAAAGCAAAACAAGTTACAGATATTGAAAGTGATGGTTTTAAAGTACTTAAAATTTTAAATAAACTAGAAATAAATGAGAGAAGAGGTGAGAATATTAAAAGTAGATATAGAATCAGAAGATAAATTACTTTCATATTATTAATAAGAAAGAGAGAAAATTAATTATAATTAGATTATTGCTAAAAAGGAGTTAGATGATAAAAAAAGTGATATTATAAACAAAGAGAGAGAGATTTAAGATTTAAAAGAGAATCATTTTATGCAATTAAATCTGTATAAATAAAAGTATAAGTTTAAATATTAGTCTAGAATTAAACATTTGTTATTTTAAAACTAAGATCAATAGAGTGATTTAAGAAAAGATGTTGACGCTACACTAAAATAATTGTAGGAGGAACATAGAATGAATGATAGAGAACTAAAGACTGATGTAAGATCACTAAAAGCATAACAAAAAGAAGCAGATTTGGCCTAGAATGATTATATGTTTGCTTTAAAAACAGAATATGATCGATTGGCTACTAATTAAGATAAAATTTTGAAAGGTAAGCAAATGATTTGAAAGAAAAGTATCATTTGAGAATGGAAAAGTTAAGAAGAGAGATGGAGGAATTAAGAAATAATTTGATTAAAATTCTTTAAGAAAAGAAAGACTTAAGAATATAATAATTAACAAAAGAACACTCAAAAAAGTAAAAAATTATTATTCTGACATCATAGCTACAAACTTAGATATGATAAAAAGTTTAAAAAATGAAATTACTGATCATTAGAAAAAAGAAGAAAAAGACAAAAAGCTTTTGCAATCTATAGAAAATGAATCCAAAAATCTAAATGAACCTCTTAAAGCAATAAAAGAAGAGATAAAATTTTTAATAAGAGAAAAAGAAGAATAAGGAAAAATTGTATCATAAAAGGAATAATTGAAATTTAAAATAGATGATCATGAAAAAAAATTTAGAGATTTAGAATATGAATATGAAGTAAAGTTATAACATTATTAATTTTTGGAAAGAGAAAAATTATCTTTAGAAAATAAGTTTAATAATAGTATTTAATAAGTTTAACAAAAAACTGGATTGCAAGTAAAGTTTAATATTAATTAAAATAGAATTTAATTTTAGAGAAAAAGACTGCTGCTATTAATGATGAACTTGAAATTAAAGAGATTTAATTTAATTAAGTCTTATAGGGGGCTAACATTGATTAAAACACAATAAGTATATTTTATTAATAAATTAGAAATCAACACTAAGCAATATTAAGATATAGATGTCTAAAAACAGGTTGTTATTGTTGAATTATAAAATCAGTTTATATAAATAAGAAAAGCACATTCTCATATGGTTAAAGCTTATGATGGAAAATTAGCAGAATTTGTGATACCCGTTGAGGAACTAGGATTTGATCCTCTTGTACCAACTTTTTCAGAATGATTTGATGCTATATATGTTAGTTTAGGATAAAAAAATTATATTTAATGAATTAATTTAAATAATTATTATTTTCTTAATGTACAGTAATTATATTTAGGTTTTCTTTAAGAGTATAATTATTAGGAATCTATTTAAAATATTATAATAATACAAATAGTAAAATAATTCTAAAAATGATTTTTAATATCTATTGAAACACCTTTTCAAATAAATTGAATAGAATAAAATAGTTTATTAATTTCATTTGATATAATAATTTACATTAAGATCAGCTAGAAATTTTCTCTTTATACTAATAAACTATATCTCGGATTTACTCTTACATTTAGGAACAAATTTCATTTTAGTAAGGTTTGCAACCAAACATAATTTTATTCATTTAGATTTAATAGTCTATATATGTCATATCATTAAATTTTAGATTATTACACGATTATATATATTAGAAAATATTTTATAGTTTTTACTTTATGTTATTCAGGTAGTTGTTGATCATAGGGATTTAAAATCAATCATCTAAAGATACCTAATAAAAGATTCAATTAGTCTATGATCAGAAAGTTCAAAAGAACTGACAGAAATTTTATACCTTTCCATATTCCCAAACTATATTTTTCTAATCATCAGGAAGGCAATTTTGTTTTCTAAAATTCCATCTTTGCTTCTTTTTTTAGCATAAAGAGCAAAATATTTAGAGAATAATTATTTCATTTTTTACTGGCATATTGTCTTCATCAAACTTCTATCCCGATATTACATTCATCCAGAAATAGGAGATTCAAATTAATTTTTGTGTGTAATAATTAAAAAAGAGCTATGTTTACAAAATATTTTATTAATTTAAAATTAATTTTAAGTTTTACCTTCCTCTAACCTATAATCATGATTCCTGTACAAATATTGAAAAATATCTAAAATCAGAATACCCAACATCGTTAAACAAATTCAGCTTTTCTAAAATCAAGAAAACACTCTCCTATTACCCATTTAATCGTTACTCGTCATCCAAGGGTAAGCTAGCAAATGAAAGAGTAGTCAAATTCTCCATCAACTTAAATAAAGACCTCCTCCTCTTAATATCCCTAGATAATTTAATCAGTTGAATAAATGAAAAGATTTCCAACTGAAGCTAATGTAAAGTCTATTAAGGGATCAACAATATAAATTTCCAATGCTCTAAAACTGTTTTCCTCAAAACATCCTTCTGATTAATATTAGAACACACTAAAATTTTCTTCTTTTTTATATGAAAAAGTTAATGAATAATCAATTTATACAAAAACAACTACTGGAGAAAGTTAAGAGAATGATAAGGAATTCAACCAAGGTAAAGTATTAAATGGGATTTTAGACTCTTTCATTGTTTATAATAATGTTTTGCATGGTAAAAACCTAGAAATCTAAAAATTAGAGAAAGAGTTAAAATAACTGAAATAAGAAAATGTATTATATTATTGATCATTTAGAGAAAATATCAAAATTTAGAAAAAGATTACTAAACTATATTGTAGGAAAATTAAAATTTAAAACTAAAATTATAGAATTAATAAACAGAAATAACCTTATTAAATCATTAGTAGACATGTAATTCGTTAAGAAAATAATCTGATTATGTGAGTGCTTTGAGTGATTAAGATAAATTGAAAATAAAGATTTTACTAGAATGCGATTGATATGAAACAAATTTATAAATATTCTATACTATAATTGAATATTCATATCCATTATGGTTTATTACCAGCCCAACTTTTTGGAGTGTGTATATAATAGGACATTACATAATTTTTAAATTTAAGATATCCTTCAAAGTTTTGTTTTTTGCTTAATAAAATCTGCTTAGTAGCTAATTTATCTAAGTACCAAATAAGAACCTCTTTGAATGCTTTCTTACGGTTCTAATCAGGAATAGAATCTTTATCATAGATTAGTTCTTTTTTTAAAGATTAATAACCCATAATTAAAATTCTTTATTTTCTATAGTATTCAACAAAATTAGAGTAATTGATTTAATATATGCTGCAAATTTACGTTATGATTTCAGCATATTATTTATTTTCAATAGTTCGAAACAAATATAATAATATATATCTACAGTAACTTTTTTCATTAAATTTCTTTTTGGGAATTTTTTCAGGGGTTTTCTAAGGATTTATTATTTAAATGTTTGATTCTAAACCAAAATTCTCATTTTTTTCGTTATCAAACATTTAAATGCTTGGTTCTGAATATAAATTCACATTTTTTTCGTTATCAGAAATTTAAATACTTGATTCTAAATCAAAATTCACATTGTTTTCATTATCAGAAATTTAAAAATAAATCTATTTTTTGGCATCTTCATTTGGAGAGATTATATTTTCAAATTCATAAAAAAGTTCTTAAAAACCTCCCTAATTCTATTGAAGATCCATAAGTTCATCTTCTTGATCATAATTTTAAATTATGGAATCCTACCTCAACAAAAAGAGTCTTTAAGTTTGTATATACAAATCATCAAGTTAATTTGTTAGTTGTGACATCTCATACAATAAGTGAAAAAAGAAAAATGATAATAATTTTCTTAGAAAAATAAATAATAATAAGAGATTATTTTCACAATTAAATATTGTGAGGATATTGATAAATTCTGACAAAATTCTTTCATATTTATTATTTAAAAAAATTGAATCCATCTGTTCTTCTTCTTTAAGTACTTTATTACTCAGCTTCTAATCTGACTAATGTTTCTTACTATAAATGAAATTATTTATTCAATTTTAGGAATCTAATTTTCCACTCTTGAGCTTCAACTTCAAATTAAGGTAACTATTCAATATATTTTCTTTATATTTCTGATTATTTTTCAAGGTTTTAAATTCTATTTAATTTCAACAATAAATACTTTAATAGAAGTTCTTTTTTATCTTAACTATATTATCTAATTTATTATTAATGTTTTATTTGTTATTATTCAATTTATGTTTACATTTATTAAATCTATGTATTTTTATCTTAAAGATCCATATAAAGATCTAAATTTTTAGATTCTAATTCAAACATACTAGAAATAAGATTAAAACTATTTATTTTATTATCTACTGCAACACAATCATAACTCTTTCGCTATGTTTGAAAACCTAATTAAATATTTTTATTTTCATCAATTTCTGTTTTGAAAACAACTCTATTGACTTTCTTTTTTTTTGTTTGATCAACTTTGCATTTTTGAATGGGAGATTCTTGTAATTTCACTGACTAAAGGGATTTTGTAATCATAAAATAACTAACTTATAAATACCTAATTACATAATTAATGGTCTTATAATGGTAATTCCTTCTTCAGAATTCCTTATTTTTGATAAGTATTGTAATTAAATATTTTAGCTATATAACTTTCATGTTTTGGAGATTGTTTTGAGCCTCCTTAAGATTCCTTTTTAATAGTCTAGAATTGCATTTTGAAATTAATTATTAAACAACTCAAATTCAAATTTTAGTTTTATTGCTAATATATTTATATATATATATATATTTATATACATAATTTTATCAATAATCACTCATAAATTCAATTAACTATTAGTATTTTTGATTCATTTATTTTACTTTATTCAAATAATTATTAAGTTTTTCTCTTTTAAAAAGTAAACTACATGACCATAATTTACAATTCTAATATCCAATAGAACAACTTTTACAACATGATATCATGTTTGCTTTATCTATTTCTAATAGATTTTATTTATATTATAATAAAAACAAGGCTGTTCTACCATCTTAGCTACATGATTTACATATCTAATTATAATTATTAATTATATACTTCAAATTTGGATTCTTCTCCACAAAGTAAACATTATTATATATTAAGATATTTAACAAGTGTATATTAAGTAGCTTTTGTTTAATGAGCATTACTATAAGTAAGATGTTATTTAAAATGATCTCTTTTTGCAAGCATTTTTGGAAGATTACTATACCAATCAGCTATATCAATATCAAAACAAGCAAATAATCTACCTACTGCTGCATTAATTTATTTAATATAGTAATGTGGATTCAATTTCATAGTGCTTTAAAAATCATAAATATTGACTACTAAATCAGCAAGTTTAGATGTTCCTTAAGCTTATATGACTACATATGGAACTCTTTCTCCTCCTTTTGGTCTTCTCATAGGATCTGAATTCATAATTTTAGTAGCTACTACTGCATGTGCTGGAAGTCTTCCTTCTTTATAAGTTCCTAATTTAACTTCTTTTGCCATAATATAATCTTAAATATCTACATGATCTTGTAGAATTTTAGCCCATTATTTTTACATATATAATTTTAATTAAGATAAATCTTTAGTCTTAAATAAAATATTAATAGCTTTTCTTTATATTTTTTAAAGAGCAGGAAATCCATCTCTTCTAATTATTTCAAGTCCTTTACCATCCAATTAAAATTCTCCTTTTTCAAATTTATTACCAACATATCTCTTTTTAGCTACCAATAAGGATTCTGCATATACTTTTTCAAATTTTAATTCAATTGGATGTGGATATAAGCTAGTACAATGTTATGCTATTTAATTTCCTATTTATAAAGCTTCATTAACATTTCTACCAGGTAACATTACAAATAAACTATCTGTATCACCATATAAAACTTTGGCTTACCATATTGGATTTGAATTAATACATTCTATACATTAATTTAAAATTGTTCTTCCTAATTCAACAACTGAATCAGCTATATCACCAGATGGCATTCTACCAGAAAAAGATGCTCCACAATATCCATACATAACATTCATAAATAATTTAATAGCCAATTATCTAAATCCATGTTATTTTTATATTTTTGGATATTTATCATAAAGTTAAGTAGATTTCTTAATCATAATTCTTGTCATTAGAAATTCATTTAAAATTTATGGTATTATACCTACTCTAACATCTTTAGTAAGAAATCCAACATTATTAGGTGTAATTAATATATGTTTCATCAATTCTTCTTAATTTTAATACTTTTATAACAAGGATTCAAAGTCAATGTCAGTTGTAACTACTCCAAATCTCTTTTTACCTCCTTCCTAAAATTCTTCTTTTATACTACCTAAACAAGTACTAAAACATAAATTATAGGCAATCATAATTGAAGGATATAATGATTAGAAATCAAGGACTATTAAAGGACTTTTAAATAAAAAATATTAATATACTCTACAGTAAATATTTTAGGAGGTTCAACAACTAAAGGCATACATTCTAAAATTTTCTAAGTAGAAACCTATACTCGTGTTGCTGATAATAATAAATAATCATTTAATTTTGTCACTCTATTAAGAATAGACTCAATTTTAAATTAACTACCTCTAAAACCAACAGATTCATATTCACAACCAAAAAGTTTAGCTATTTCAATAGTTCTAGGTATTAAACCAATCATTTCTAAAATATCAAATGTCATATCTATTCTTTTAGTGTAATATTAGAAAACAAGAAATGTCTCTGATTTAAACCATTATGATAAAATTTAATTATGTATTAAAGCATTCTTTTCTTTAAACATCTAATAATAAACATTTTCTATTGAATAATCTATAATTTTAATATCTGTTGCTACATTTCTCCAAACATTAATTAAAACTCTTCCAACTACAAATGTTATATATCTTAATTTCTTTCTTCTACTATTAATTTAATTTAATTTTCCTTTAGAATTATATGATTTTGTTTTTGGATCTTAATTAAAACTTTATCTTTTATTAATTGTAGGTCTTAATAATCTATAATCCATATATTTTTATAATTTATCATTGATTGGTTATGGTGATCCAAAATTAAACAATATTTCATCAAAATCAAATATTTCAATCAATTTATCATAAGTTGGTTATCCTCTACTTATTTCTGTTAAAAAATCATAACCAATAAATTCTGCTCTATTTGCAACATAATAAAGACTTCTAGTTTCTAAATCATAACCTGATATGAAATCTGGATCAATTAAATGTATTATTAAAGTAAAAGCTTTCATTAAATTAATCTCATTCTATGTAAGAACTATTGTATATTCAACAGGAGCATTCATTCTTTCAAAATTACCATTAATTGCCTTTAAATATTTCTCTTCATTTTAAATTATAAGCATTTTATTCATGATTTTTGAACTCTTAACATTATAAGAGTGAAGAATAATAAAAGAAATTTCATCCTTTTCTGGATCTGGTAATAATTTTTAATCTTTATAAGAAAATATTTCAAATATCATTAATACTAAATCTTCTTAAAATGTTATATCATCTTCACTTTATATTGATAATGATGTTGGATAAAAATATTATGATTTTTCAATAATTGAATTTAATGGATCATTTCTCATTCCTTATCTTTATTCAATATCTATAAGAACTTCTTAAATTGTAGGAGGTTCATGTTAATATTAATATTATCTTAAATTACAATTATATTATTATTCTCTAAATAAATCAAGTTTATAGGATTATGGTAATTTAGTTTAATTTTAAATACTTATTGCATAAAATCTATTTTCAGGTATTTTAATACATTATTAATCTAAAAGTAAAGCATAAATATGATTTTAAGGTATTTATTTATGTTTAATATTATAATGCTTGTACAAATCCTTAATATCTCCAAAATAAGCATATTAATGTTCAACTAATTTCATTTAATTATATAATTATAAGTATACTTCATTAGGAGATGGTGGTTTTATTTTATATTGATAGATTTAAGGTTTACGTGTTGTTGGTTTAAGTATAGTATATTTTTTCTATTTTTTTTCAATGCAATTGCACATTAGAAAATTATTGTTACAGTATTCACAAATAGAAAATATGTAACCTAATTTTATATTATTTTTGTTTGCATGATATTTCTTTCTAAATTTGTTTTTATCTTAAAGTTTTTAATTTTCTTTCATAATATCAAATACATTTTTTTCATCTTATGATTTAATAATACTTTCTGCATCTTCAAGATCTTCATCTTCATTATCTTATTAAAGATCTTACTAATCAATAAATTTATCATCAAAATCATATTCATAATCTATATTACCTTCTTCTTTAATAAGTTCAAATAAATCTTTTTTCCTTGTTTTATACTCTTAAAATCTTTAGATAATAGATTTTTTACATAATTCCATTTCATCTTATTAACCATTAAAAAACATTTATGCAATATTTTGATTTATAAAACATGAAGTTATATTAAATTTAATATGATTCTTTTTAGCATCCTAATATAATTGAAAATATTATTTCATAAATTGTTTATTCAAAACATTAACAGAAGGATAATGATCCCATAATTATCCTTCTTTATTTTTTGATGTATCTACAACAAATGATACAGGTTAATTGAATTTAAATCTTGCTCTATTGATTTCTTCATCTGACCAAAGTTTATTTAATGATGGAGTTAATTCTACTTCAAATTCTTTATTTTAATTAAATGCACAAGAGATTTCTATTCTATCCTTCTCATCTTTATAACGTTCATTAATAATAGAAGTATAATGACAATCAATTTCAAACGGACAAGTTGTAACTTTATATAGATGAGAATATTAGTTTATATGTAAATCTCTAAATAGAATTGGTTTTGTCAATAATTATTCTAAATCTTTATCAAATCTTTTTCTATATTTCAATTTGAGTATTTTGATTTAACTCATTCCAAATAAATTAGCATCACTATAAAAATGCATAAAATATGTTAAATGAGACTTAAATTATATAAATATATTCTTACTTCATATGACTAAAACTTGTAATTCATTACAGCACCACTTGCTAATAGCATAACCAATTATGCCATATACTATTTATCATACATATATAATTTTAAAAAGAGTTACTTTTACATATGAAAACCATAAAAATCTAATTTCTGACATAATTCATATTGATATATGATTTTGAACTTTTCTTATGATTGTTTAGGGAAATGAGCTAGGAATGTTGAAGCATACACTTAATGTACTTTATTTATAAAATCCTTAACAAAATCAAGATCTATAAATAAATGTCTCAATTCTTCAACTTTTATGTAAAAGTATGGAAAATATCCATGAACATGTACACACATCCTTTCTTTTGTTTTAGGCTCATATCCAAAGAGACGTATAACTGGAGCATATTGAATTGGACGATTTAAGTAATCTGTGTTTGAGTATTTAAGAGTTTCAAATAAGGTTTCTTAGTTTGGTTAACTCATTTTAGTCCCTGGAGCAGGTAGATTCATAATGTAATAATCATGTGCAAAAGGTATAAAATCAATTTCCATAATAAATAAATCAAAACCCAAAATCAGAAGGTAATTTATATGTTCCAGGTCCTGGAGAACTATTATGATGATCAGACATAGAACGTTATGCTCTTGGAAATTTGTTGCATTTACTTGCACCAAACTTTGAGCAAAAGTATGTTCCTAAAGGATTAATGTTACCAATCTATTTATAAGAACCAGGACCAGGTGTATTATCCTTCACTTTTCTCTCTGAATGAGTTCTTGGAGGTACCAATACAATAGCTCCGGAACTTTAAATAATAAATAATTAACATAATACTTTCTATATTGACTAAGAGGATATATCCCTTTGCTATTAATACTGCTTGGTAAATTGTAATGACCTCTAAAATAAATGATTACCCATACGGTCCAGGTTTTGGATCTTGATCTTTTCGACTTGTTAATCTCTATCTCATAGTATAACGAACAGGAGAAATAGAATCTTTGAATTTGTAAGTTCCAGGTCCTGGAGTATTTTATACTAATCCTAAGAATATACTCTCATATTTATTTGCATCCTATAAAAAATATAAATAGTATTAATTTACTTCTCTTCCTAATCCCATAGTCCATCCATGTTCTTGATTTTTATGGAGTGAATAGAAATTAGGAGCAGGAGTAATTGATTCATGAGTAAGATTTATTTTTTTACCATAACCAATACCTGCTGCTCTTTTACTAAGAGTAGTTGGTAATTAATATATAGGAGGACATCTTAATAAGTATATATAGATTGATTGTATTACAGATTATCTTTTATATCAATCCAACGTTTTGCTTTAGAGAATGTATACATCTATTTACTCTTACTAGTATTTAATGGAGAACTATTTGCAAATGATTTATCCATTATGATAATATGAATATTTATATCAATTATTAATAATCTGTGATATTAATTTAATGTCTCTTTCATTATCTTCATTTAAATAAAATTTGCTTCTTTCAATAAACATCTTGATATCAAAATATATATTATTGTAATTTTAATAAAACTATTCCATTTTAACTTCAAATAATTGATATACTAATGTAGAATAATAAAAAATATACAATCTAATAGATTATTTGGAAATGTTTCATTTTTAAAAGAATTTAATTGATTTATCAAATTTTGTATACTAACAAAAGTAAACTTTTTTATATAACTAAATTAAAATTAAATATATACACCATATTTTGATATAATGATTTTTATGGTTGAATACATTTGTCAATTTTTCTTTCACACATTGTTTTCATCTAATTTAAATGATAAATCATTTGATCAATCTGAGATTTTATTGATTATTTTTCTAATTCTATTTATTTATTTCTAAAAAAGAAACTTGGATTTTCTATTCTCTCTTGATTTTTTTCAGAAAGTGATATATTTACTCTCTAAGAATCATTAGGGTTTTAGATTTTATCTTATTCCTATTCATCATAATCAATCTAAGTTATATCATTATTAGAACTCAAATAAGTCTAATTCATTTTAGATAATATTAAATTAATTAATTAATATAAAATGAATAATAATTGCACTCATGTGACTTTGTTATTAGATTTGTCACCTTCCTTAGCTAAATTTGAAATGTTTACATCATTAGATTTCAAATATGAATTTCTTATTGAATCATTAACATCTCTCATTAAGATGCTTACTAATTAATTATTGAGTATATTTATAATCAAAGAGGAAAGTGTTATTACATTTCTTAGAAATCACCCTACAACTAATTTACCACTTTTAATTGAACTCATAGCTGAATATATTCGCAATCATTATTCTAATCAAAATATATATATTAAGAAAACTATACAATAAGCTATTGATATGACTATATCTTAATTGAGATCTTATTAATAACCATATAACAATAAAAAATACATAATATTTAGTGATTTTACTAATTTCAGTTATGGAGGTTTCTTGGCCTTTGATTTATGGGATACATAGGGTTATACATTTTCATTTAATGGAGTTTTAATAGGATCATAGAAATTGAATGGTTATGAATCATTTAAATTAGTTATTGATCCATAAGTAATTTCAGATTATATGGAAAATCTTAATGGTGAATTGTATGATATCAATTTAAAAAATAAGAATGGAATTTTGATTGAAATAGATTAAATTGTAGTACCAATCAATAATATTAATAAATAAGTGTATAATACAAGATAATAGGTAGGAGAATATATTAATAAATATCCAAAAGAGATGTATGAAATGAGAAAGAAAGAAGGTTTTAAAGAAGAAAATTCACAAACTTTAAGTATTCGAGTTAATGATTAAATGAGATTATTATATTAGATTGGTGAAGATAATGTAATTATCTATTTAGAAAGAAATTAATTAATGGATAGACCTTAGAGTCCTTAAAAAAAGTAAACAGAATAAGATAATGAAATAAATATTAATTGTAAAATGTTGTTTGAAATGTATAAAGAAAGAGATTAATTGTAAGAGATTGTTTTGGATATGTAATTATAGAAGATATCTATTGAGGAAGGAATGGGTATATTAGTGAAGAAGAAAGCTTTTGAAAGTTAGAAATTTATAAATAGAAATTTTAAATAAATTTCATTAGTTTATTTAATACGACCTATAGATTTTAGATAATTTTAAGAAGAAGGTGAGGAATTCAACAAAAATTAATTTTATCATTATATTCGTTAAAAATTATAAGAGGTTTCAACAAAGTAATTATAGAATTGTTTATTATATTAATAAGAGTAAGATTTTGTGATGATTAGAATTCTTTGGCATTCTCATACTATAATTAGATTAATATGTATATATAATGATTCTAAAATGCTTCCTATATTATAAAATAGGATAAAGGAAGTTTTTAAAAGTAATTAAATTTTGAGAAATTCTCTTATAGAATTTGATCATTCTTTAAAGAATTTATTAATAAAGAGTGAAACTCATCTTTTGAAAAAGAATCCAGATTTATATGTTTTAGAGAGATGTTGGGAATGGAAGAAAGAGTTAATTTGGGATTTATAATAAATGTATAGAATATTAACAAGTGTAAGAATTAAATCAAATTATTGGAGAGTACCATCTTTAAATGATAGAACTAATAAATTCTTTGTTGCATAATTAGAATTGGGATAAAAGATTGTAATAGTTTAGAATTTAATATTACAGGAAGATAGAATCATATGTAATATATTTACAGAGAATATTATATCAGAAGAGAGAAATGTATTGATAGAATATTTTGATAAGATAAAAGAATTTGAAAAGTAAATAGTTATAACTCTTCATACTGCTCATAGTATGTATAGATAATCATTAATAAAGAAATAGAATAGTTCTTAAGTAGATTTCTTTACATTGTAATTCATAACAAGATAAGGAAAGCTATTTTAAACAAAAGAATAAATAAGTAAATAATTTATTGAATATGCTTAATCATAAGCAACATATTATCCAACTCCTACTAATTAATTAGATTATAATTCTTTATTTTAAAAAGGATATTTGTATTATGAAATAAAATAAAAATAAATTGATGAAGAATCTAAGAATAGATTAAATATAGGTTATTTGTAAGTATTACAATAAATAGCAAATCATATAGTTTTAAGATAATAGAGTTAATTAAATTAAGATTTATTGTTTATTGTAGTTGGTCCATAAAGATTGTTAATGATTGCATTTACATTAGAGAATACAACATTTTATTTAATTTCATTAGAATAAATAGAGAGAAATCATACATCTCATCCATTTTTGAATGCTAATTAAGAGAAAAAAGTAGATGCTTTAATTAATTTTGTATAATAAGAATATAATTCTGTATTTGCAAAAGAGGTTCATTAATAATTTATGAATAATATATTTACATCATAAATATAAGAAGCAATAGAAGGATGTTAAATAGAAATACTTGATGTTGATTTGAATTAAGCTTAATAAGATGTTAGATTATTATTTGATTAATAAGCAAGAAAAATGTAAAAGAAATCATCAATAGCAGAAGAAACTCCAAGTCCAAATAAATAATTTAGAAGATAAAATTATTAATAAAGATTAAATGATATTAAATAATCATTTGTATAGAAATAATGTTAAAAATGGGATGAGAGATTATAAAAATTAATGAATGATCATAAAATTAGTATGAAATAAATAGAAGATTCTTAGTAATGGTATTTTTATGATAATAAATAAGAGAAAAATGAAAATATTTTATTTTTAAGTGTTAAATTTAGGGATGGAGAAGCAGAATATTAAAGTATATAACAATTAATTGAAAATTTTAGATTAAAATAAAAAAGATTAAAATTAACAATTTCTTATCTTATTTATTATTATGATAAAAGAAGTTTAATTAAGATATTAAATGAAGGTTTAGATTTCCTTTAAGTTAGTTCTACTGATGAATTAACATCAATAAAAAGAAAGATTTAAAGATGGTCTGATCCTTTTAGAAAATATAATAATGAATTTATGAAGAAATTTTAATTAGAAATATAAAGATTATTACCTATGAATGAAGATAATATAAAATTAATATATATAATGATTGAAGGAATGGATAATAAATTTGTAGAATATAAATAATCAGATAAAAAATTTGATAAACATTTTGCATCATAATTTTCTGAAGAAATTAAAAATACTTCAGAATTAAATTAATTATTGAAATATATAAATTTATCAGATGAATATTATGTGTTTATATTAACAACAGAAAATTGTAATATGCCTTAATTTGAAGAATTTGAATTAGAAAAAGAATTTTTAGCAGATGAATAATAAGTGATTCCATTCTGGTTTATAATTAGAGTTTAAGAATAACAATTTTCTATTGTATGGTATTCTGAATATTAATTTGAATCTCTAAAGAAAACAGCAGAAGAATTAAGAGAATTAATATTAGAAACTATTGAAAGAACATTATTATATTTAATAATAAGAAAAGCAACTGAATCTACAAATAAAGTTAAATTAATATTAAGTCCTTATTTTGAAATAGATGAAGAAACTCCAGCCTTAGAATAAATTAAATAAAGTCAAAATCCAATACCTCCTCCTACTTAATAGAAAAATGTACATACTAGAAATATGTGGAAAACTAAAACTATAGTTGAAACTAAAGTACAAGAAAGTAAAGAGTATAAAATACCATTTGTTGGTTGGAAAGTGTTTCATCCTTATCAACCTAAAAAACCATTTATTTAATATTTAATCAATAATACTATTTTAATGAATCATTAAATAGATTCTAATTAATATTATGGATAATTAGATAAATAATATTATTTATTCAGTTTTTAGAATGTAAAAAATATAAGTAATTATGCTGATAGATATCCTGAATTATGTTCTGATATTATACCTGGTTAATTATCAATAATAATGAATGTTTATTCTACTAATAAAAATCAAAAGAAGATTATTTAAGATATAGATTATTATTATGAACATATCAAAAGAAATATGGATGAAGATACTATTAATGCATTATCTTAAGGTGTTATTAGAAATCCTAGATTGAAAGAATAAGAATTCTATTTAATTTAAAAAGGTGAACATAATCATATAGAGATTTTATTAAATAATAATATTAAAGATATGTTAGCATTTTCTACATTTATGAGACATAATTTAGAGAAAACTTTTTGTAAATATGAAGTTCAATAATAGGAAAAGATTAAATTTGATGCATAAAGAGATGATTTAAGATATATTGTTGATTAACATGAAAATTCTTTTATATTCTCCAAATATAAAGTAGTCTATTCTCCTAATGTAAATATGTCTAATTTTTTTGGTTAAGGATTGTGTTTATTAAATTTTTTATATTAAGTTGATGGTGAAATTATCACTTCCTACTAATTTCCAAAATAACCTAAATGTATTTAATAAGAAGATTTATTATATATTCCTGCTTCATTACCTCCTCTTCAATTTTATTAAGGACCTAGAACTTCTAGAAGTGAAGTTTGTTATGATATTAGTAAAAATTATCATGAGAAATTCTTGATAATTGATGTAATTTCAAGGGGATAATTAGAATGGAATGCTTTTAAGGAATATTTTGCAGCATTAGTTAGATAAGTAGAATTGGAATATTAAATTGAGATAATATAATTAAGAGGAAAAAGTAAAGATTAACTTTAAGAAATATAATAAACATTTAAATAATTGAAACATTATAGTTTTAAAATGCATCATTTTGTATATCCATTATATTATGATGAAATTTTATGGAATAATGTAATGGGTTAATTAAAAAATAAGATAATTGTAGAATTTGATAAGAAAGGAATAAATCCATAACTCTCTTAATAATTTGAATAGCAATTTTCAATTTAACCAAGTGTTTAATTAGATCATAGTTCTATGGTTTATATTATTAATGATGGTTAAGATTATGAATAAGCTATTTTATTAGATGGTGTTAAACATTTTGCTTCACAAAAATAAAAGAAAAATGATCCTATTGATTTATATCATAGAAGTTTATTAG